AGAATAAACTTCAGTCAAATATTTTATTTTGTGCCATTGGTAGGATCAATAGTGTTGTCTCTCTGCTGCTATAATAATCAGAAAGGGGAATGAAACAAACTTACGATATGTAAAGAAGTCTTTACAGTTGGATAACCTTACCGTTTACAAGTATTAGTGGTTTGGTTAATGAATTTTGTACTCACTGCTCCTACTTACTTCTCATCCAACAGAAATGGATTGGATTTGGTGGTTCTGCTATATTTATGAAAAAAACAGGAACTTTGCTCTTTCCATAAGTTCTTTTCTGATTCTTTACGTCAGTCAACTATATGAAAAGGAAAATACTTGTGAAGTTTTCTCTATACCGTCTGTCCATAGAAAAAGCAGAACTGAGTATTATAGTCTGTTGAGCCTAGTCCTAACTATTTACGATTTGCTACCCATTCTTATTTGAAATATCTTCTCTATGAATCATAACTTTTTGCAAAAAGGTATCTAAGGGTTCCTGCTTTACTCTGTTATTTTATCCATCTCCTTGATGATGGTTATGTTTTACTAACTTTATTATACTAATATCCCACTTTATTCAGAAGGAATTGACTGACAATAGGATGGTAGAGCACTTTGAAGATTTTTACTCTTAGCAATATTCATGATGTAGACTCAAAATCAGTGTCTATTTGGATTTGGTTGTTCTTTATCTAGGTGTTTTCCTTGAATGCCAGCAGCTATCACAAGCTAAACTATTCATTATCTGTCATGGTCAATTACCTGTGAGTTTCTGCATACAAACCCAAATGACCTCTTGATGCCACACCTTCTATTTATGTGGATTCACGACAGGATTTCATAGTACAGTTATTCTATTCAAGTAGTCCCTTCCTATATGATGTTGGAGTGTCGCTCTAATTTTTGACATGATTGAGCTCCGTGAACATACACTCAATATATATGCAAATATGCATAAACACTTGAAACAATGGTCATCCGTTTTGCAGAATTGCTGAACCTGACATTTGCAACATCCCGATTAATTCAAAAAAAAAAAGGGCAAGATTAAAATTGACTTATAAGGACTGATGAATGTATTATTGTCAACTTCAGCCTAAGCATTTGACTAGTGGTTTAAGTCAAATGAGATTGATAGGTCAGTTAGCCTATTAGGCCCGGGTTGTGATAATATATTTTCTGTTATCCATATAATTTTAAATATTATGGAACAGTTCAGCTTTATTCTCTTGACATATCTTCTGTAGGTAATATTCATTGGTCACAATGATGATGAAAGGAAATTCATTTTTCTCTTTTTTGTTGGTGTTGTGGTAAAAGTTAGATGACATATATGAAGAAAACTTATCCACTTTTATGTTTCTCACTTGGTATATAGTTTTACATAAATTGTTGTCTGGCAATTATCTCATATGATTCAAGCACGGGCTGCACATCATATTTGGAGGTCAGCATTCCGGATCAGCTTGATGTTATTTTTGTTTCCTCCAGTAGACAATGCTGTTTTCCCTATAGCATTGGGTTTTTGCTTATTCTGCAAGTGACTATTACTTCTAGATGTTATAATTCTGACACCAAGCATGCTCCTGAATCATCCAAGTATTTTATCCCCTTGCATTAGAATTTCCAACATCATTAATGTGTTACCAGAAGTCATTGTTCAAAGTCTTCATATCCTATATCTGATATGACAGATACCGTAGGTCGTTATATGGGCATCTTGTCCCATATAATTGTTGTGTAGTGCCCTCTGGTGCGTTGCGTCCTTGTGCCACTTGTTTGTGTTTCTCTTTCTTCATTTTCCATCAGAAAGCAGCTCTTTCTGGTGCTACAGACAATGGAAGCATCAGTTTCCTCTCGGTTGTTGCACAATGTGGACTGGTGGTATGGTTAGGTTTGGATACAAAACAGTAGCTGAAACTTTAAGCTGACTCATGGCCCTCCATGTCTGCCGCTCCATTGTTCGGATAAGCTGCAAATTTATGTAGTTGACTTGCCTCTTTGATCTCATTTTATCTGTATCTCTTTGCATGACAAAATGCATTGCTCTAATATATCTATTTAGATGTAATCTGCCAACTTTGGACATACCATTGCTATTAATGCATATATTTACGAGAATGTTCACATGCGCATTGGTGATGCAGGTGTGCTGACCACGCCATCTGATGGCTTGCCCTGGAGAAGCATCGGTATTTCCCTTTCCTTTGAATCAACTTAGCACAAGCTCATCATGAAAAGGATTTAGTGGTGCCCATCAGATGCGTGCAAGCTGATGGTCCCCCAGCTTGCGAATGGAATCCTACAGCATTCCTTCTGGCCTCGCTTTATTTTCTTTTCCCTGGTCGATGAAGGCTCAAGTTGGAGACAGCTGCCACCAGGTAATCAGATCTTTCCCAGAAAACCCTTTCTTGACCTCAATTAATGAAGGAAGAGATCCTTATCGTTTAGGGGATTTCTAGTAAGATTGGATTGTTCATAGGATTTGGGGTAGATAAGGATAAGAAAATAGATAGGTTAAGATGAGTATGTGTCTTGTTTATTACCAGTCTTAGATAGTAGCAGATTGGATTCCAACTATGCTATCGATAAGATACTCATCGATTGTTTATTACCATTCGGGATGATGAATACATATAGGAAGTTTTGAGTGTATTTAAATGAGGCCAACTTGATGCACATGGTGAGGATCACACAAGCTATAATCGAAAGAAGGTAGGCTTTGGTCATTGAAAGTATACACCTTTCGGTCAAATCTCTCTTTGCTACGTTGGCAAAACAGAGAGAGAGAGAGAGAGAGAGAGAGAGAGACCTGTGAACCTTTTGACTGTAGATACTCGAGCAGGAGCGCGAGCACAGCCTTATCACACTGACTGCTTACCTAATAGCACGACGGCGGGTGTGGAAGCCGACACACGATGCATGACTGCTGATGCTCGCCCGGAGCCGTGGGTGCCATTCGTTGAATCTCGTGCATTGCACTACCTCCTCGTCTAGTGTGTGTGTGTATATATACACACACACGGAGGAAGAAGAATATATACAAGATATTGTAAGCCATATAACAGAATCTTACTATGTTATTTCAGATCTAGAGTGAAAGAACTGAAATAACAGAGAAGGTGAAAGAATTATCCAATGATGATGAAATTTGAAGAGATGAGTCGACAATCCTTTTCTTTCTTTAAGCCTTTTAAGTTTTTGGGGCATAGGGTGAACGATGAAAGTGAGTCTTGATTCTAAAAATTTGATATCGGTAGTTAAGATCTTTATCTGCTAATCTTGTTGACATCTTATGATTTTTATTTATTACATATTTTATCATAACGTTCATCCTAAGACAAAAAAAGTATTTATTTGATCTCCGATAACTATGACAAAGGGTTTGATTATTCTTTCTGCTGAATATTATAATAATGCATAAGAGGCCTTAACCCCTCCCAAGCAACCTTTGATGTGGATGCAGGATCATGCTCAACCTGCAACTTGTTCAAAAGGGTTCTACCGACCTGGATTCCTCTGTAAGCTGCATTTCTTTGATATTAGCCATATTTATTTGTGTTAGTCTCCTGATTTCCTTATTTTATTAAGCCATACATATATATATAGAGAATAATAAATTCAATATAACATAATTACTTATATCGTCGTTTCTTGGGTTGAGATATATACTTTCGTCAATTTTGGTTATTCCCTAGGGTTTTGTTATTCATGCTAATACATATCTTGATTTTTTTTCTCGAGGAAATGAATGGTTTGTAGCCTTTTTTTTAAAGAAAAAACTTCAATAGAACTATCTTAGACAACCCTTTTGTATTGGTTGCTTATGAAAATACCTTTTGCACAATCTATTTATACTCCTATTATATTGTGATCCTAGTTAGGGTGTTGACTAATTAGCTTCATATGCAGACTGTGTTGCTCTTGCTAGGGTGGATAATGTTCTGGTAAATTATTTAGTTGTCACTAAATCCAAAGATGAAATCAGAAGGATACAACCAGAAGCTATTTATATTCATATTAGAGAAAGAAAACTACCTGTTGATAAGCTTCACATATTATCATTTAAGTTGAGCTAGCCATGTTGGGCTTCCCATGCATGTGAATTATGAGCTTGATTTAAACAAAAATAGGAAAAGTAAAGCAAATTAGGTCAGATTTGAGTAAAAATAAATAAATTATATAAGCAATTAGAAGTATGAAAAGAAAATTCTCAAAACATGGTATGCTATTTTAAGGTCATGTCTCATCATTTATGTGCATGGTGTTCTTCTCCTGTGTGCAGCAGGAACATGAAGAACTTGATATAAAATTTGAAATTCTGACTAGCAAAGAGAGATGAGGATTAATGATGTCTTCCTTTCCCATATAAGATTGAAGTTTAATTCCTTTAGTATCTAATAAAGGAATCTTTAATCCCAACCTAGAAGCTTGGCAAACAAGGAATCCACCACTCATGGAAGTAAGTGGCTCACTGCCACAACAAAGATGACTAAATGATGGGATTTGGTTATATAGTTTCTCTAGCTTAATTATCTTGAAGAACAATTGGCTTCATGCTTCATTCTTTATCCCTTTATTATTACGTTGGTAAATCTATGTAGGCATTGTGATGTGGATTTTGATGGCAATTAATGTTTCGAAAAAAAGAATATATATTTTTTATTTATCATGACTGGATTTTGATGCAATTGGGTATTTCTGACAGAGTCAATTCCAGTCATGTGGCAGCAAGAAGGGTTAGAAGCACATAGATTGGGTTTCCCTTAAATCTTTCATCGATTCTGTGTGTCACAGATTTGGACGAACATTTCTGGTCCAACTTGTACACTCCCCGTTCCGTTTTTGCCACTGTCACGACAAGGACAAGCTACCGTCATGGCCGACGGTTTTGTGGTAGTTTATGCATTGTGTAAGGGTATGATGGTCAAATGAGTCACCTAAAGCTTTCTTTCATCGATCTTATCAGATTGCATCAACCTGGTTTGAAGGAGGCGGATGGTGGCAATATTTAATATGAGTCGTGAGGAAGGGTACACGTTATGCTGTTTTCTATGTCTCTTTGCCTGTAGGTCTTCCTTTCCCTGCTGCATCTCTAGCTTTCCTTCCCTCCCTCCTCCCTGCTGCATCCCTACCGCCGCCCTCCTCCCTTCATCCCCAGTTCACCTGTAAGCTTTGGGAGGGCGAGGCAGGATGACTCCAAACGTAGCAGGTCAGTTTGGAGACACCACTTACACCAAGATCTTTGTTGGAGGCCTGGCTTGGGAGACCCAAAGTGACACAATGAGGAACTACTTCGAGCAGTTTGGGGAGATCCTGGAGGCCGTCGTGATCACTGACAAGAGCACCGGAAGATCCAAAGGATATGGGTTTGTGAGTTTTCTACTCCTTCCTTCCTTCCCTCCTTCCTCCTCTCGTGTCGGCCGACCGTGCATATGATTTCATGCGTTGTTGATCCCTTCCTTTCTTGTCTTCTTATAATCCTTTATGATTCTTATTTCCAGGTGACCTTCCGTGAGCCGGCGGCTGCGATGAGAGCCTGTGTCGATCCTTCGCCGGTGATCGATGGGAGGAGGGCTAACTGCAATCTCGCTTCGCTTGGTGCTCACCGATCCACGCCTACAACACCCCCACATGGTACGGTTATCACCACCATCATCTCATATCACTCGAGCACACCAAGTTTATTGGTGAATGCATGCATGATCATGGCCAAGGTCCCAGTGTTTCAGCTGTTTCATCACATCACATCACATAGTTGTTTTCCTTGAGCATCATTCATCAGATTAAGCCATCAACAGCTTACATACAGATTAATTAGTTTAGGTCATGGAGAGCACTACTATTACAGAAGATGTGCACAGATGTTTAACATGACCTAATTATTTAGTGCCTAAGGTAGAGCAAGTACAGACCTGCAAAATAGCTGTAGGAAACAGTTGTCTCAAAAGAATATTTTATAGAGGGAATGGTACAAGATGTTAGTTATCCTGGGAATTGCTTCATATTGTATATAACTAGCAGTATGCAAGTATTTCTTTCTGCAAACGAGCCTACTGTATTCTTTTACCGATCTTCAGTACCCACGCCTATGAGAAAGGATAAGTTTTAGAGATTGTTGGCATTGATTGGTTTGCATTGCTGTTCTCTCAGGAGGAAACAGAAGTCTAAGGATGGTCAAATCTTTTCATACAGGATACCAAGGTGGGATGGCTGCAGCTTTTGCTTCTCCTGCCTCCTTCCCTCATTATGCCGTCCAGCAAGGTGCCCCATATGGTCTCTATGGGTAAGCTTTTAAGTTGAGAGATTGCATCATGTTACCAAGAGGCACATGCACTGCACATACACAGACACAACTTGCCCCTTGAATGCTGCAGCAACCCTCATGGCCCATGGCTGCTGATGCGTGGTGCAATATGATACATAATCTCTGATCTTTAGTATGTCCACATTAAAGACTAAAGCTGCCACATGAATGTGCACAGTTGTCCAACATGGGCTTTGAGTGCTTTTCTTTCATCATCCTCTTTACACTACCAACTCCATCCCTCTTCCACTTCTCTCTCTGGTATTTGCTTGTGTGAGCGAGATCATGCAGGAATGACTAACTTAACTTCTGCATAAAAAACAACTATACTATTGTTATTTTCTCTGCCCTTAAGATCGTTACATGGCTGCATGCATATCCTCGCTTGGTCATCCTGGGAAATGCAGCACATAGATCACTCATATTTCATGCACATATTTCAAATCTTTTCTGGTTTCAGAGAAACTTCTAATTTTGTTTTTCTCTCTTCTTTTTGTCTTGCCAAAAATTTCAGGTACTCTCCATACTCCTCTGAATACAGCTACCCGATGGTTTGTTCTACTTCTCTTTCGCTTTTCCATTTCTTGCTACTTGCATGGGTGCTAATTAAGAAGCTAATTTTTTTCTTCTTCTCTATCAATAATTATTACTATTTTTTATCTTCCTTCCTTTGATGCAATTAATAGATACTAAATATCTTTCATCTAACTAACTCTATCAAGCACTATACTGTCTTTTTACTGTTTAAAACTAAAGGTTAAAACCTAGCTAATGTTGACAAATGTACTAGTAGAAGGTATATATCACATAAAATGTAAGCCTCTTTGCTGTGTTGCATACTATGAAGTCATAAAGATGTGCAGTGTTTTCCCATAGACTGGAGTATAAGCATACACACAAAAATAGTGATGCAAGCATACTGATTTAGGAATAAAAGGTTGTACAACTAATTCTTCTTATTTTTCCAACATAACCAACAACAGTGTCATGACTACTGTAGTTCATGAAATAAGATAATTCTGTTACTAGAGAAATTTCTACTGTAGACTCCAAGAATGATGATTAGGTTTTGTTTCATATGACTACATCTGCCATGATCTAGAATGTCTTGGTTTTGGAATCTCAAAGTTTCTGCAAGAAGTATTATGCTGTGAGAGGAAGCTTCAAAATGAAACCTAAATAAATTTATCTTTGATATGGTATACTCAAAGCATGAAAAGGGAACTTTTAAGGGGAAATGCTTGTGAAACATTAGTTGATCAGCACTATCAAAGGACTAATCCATTTGCAAAGATGACAAACAACTTCTGAAGAAACATGGTGATCATCACCATAGAGTAGTTGATATGGCCTATTTAATGAAGAACCCTAGGAGTCCTACATTCTTGACAGTAACAGGAGATCTAATTTTAATCACATCTGAAGCCATGCATGTCTAAGCATTAATTTTGTTCTTTAATGTTGTTAATATCTTTCCCACCCATGAACTGATGTAGAGGCTGTAACTATGTGTCCCAACTCCCAACCAACCATTAATGAGATGTTCCATCTTCCATTTCATTTTATCTACTAGCAATTGATCACCTGTATTGGAGTTTAATTGTTGTCCTTCCCCAGAGATATTAGGTCACCTTGTACTAGTGCACATGACCTGGTCCCAGGTCTGTCATAAGAAACCTGTAACATACATGTTCTTGCTCTTTTGTCATCCACTTAAGTAGCAGAAGCACATGGTCTGGGCCCCCTCTATCCTCAAACAACCTGTAAGTCTGCAACATCTGCCAGTCCAAATAAAACCTGCAGCACCACCGAAAAATAAAGATGTGGAGCCTGATCCAATAGATCCACCGCTAAGTGCTGGTTACATTTGTCAGTGAAACAAGAGCCAAGCTTATCATCCTTCACCTGAATTATTGTGTGAATAGCATTCTCTAAATCATAATGCCTTTTGTTTGCTTAAATACATTCCTCAGGCTTCAATCGTTTTATTCGACGATGACAAATTATTCATAACTTAATGATAATTTTGTTATCTTGTGATTTTTCTTTGAGCATTTTCAGATATGAAACTGTGTCATTTGACTAGCATGTTCTCCGAGGACTTCTGATCACAAGTATCCTTTAGGAAGCATAAACGTATTTTGGGAACAAACTTTGAAGCTCTGAACTATCATCTTGTTAGTGATAATGCCGGTATGGTGTTCCTTTAGTTAGATAAGAAAAGGTTGGAATTACGTTTAGATGAGATCTGCAAACTACTCTTTATGTTTTAGCTTAGCTCTAAATAGAGTTAGAATCTCCACTTATTTTGTTTTATTTTCATCTGGATTTCTCTCTCCTCTTTTGTTATTCTATTTTGAAGTTATTAATATATTCTATAGTTGAATGTTGCTGATACAACTGAATGCGAAGGTGCAAGAATTGCTTACTGATCCCTTGCGTTGTAATGGCCAGAGTTATTACAATGTCTTTGGAGGTGCAACTGCGCAATATCCAGTTCATGGTTCAGCGGCAGGAACGGTGACAGGAACCACTGCCTTCTACCCATACTTCCAGTTCGGGCAGGGCGGCGGCGGCGGCGCTACAGTCGGACACGGCTACAGCATTCCATATCCTCCGATTCTCCATTATTCAGCAGTGGCCTCGACGACGACGGGATTGACGGGGTTCATGCAGCATCTCGGAGGGCCATTGTCCATTCCACCCAGTCCTCCTGCACAACCAGGTACCATCATATCAGTTAGAACGATTCATATTTGGAATTAATTGATTATATATCACCATGCATATTAATGCTGACAATATTAGATGTTACAGAATAGCTTATGCTGTGATTATATTCATAAAGTCATTAATGTTGAATCTAACCTTGCCTTTTTTATTTTTTCTGGTAACAGTGTGTTTTCCCTTAAAACAGGCATGACTGTGGCTCTCACAGCTCCAGCCCTGCCATCTCCGGCCGGCTACCACCACTGCGCCTGAGCAACCCTTGGCTTAAAACCATGGTTTCATTCTCCTCTTCTTTCTCCCAGTTGTTTCCATCATTCGTTTAAGAACCACGCATGCGGTCATTCCTTAGGGTTTGGTTTCCCAAAGGACTGCTCCAAGTCCAGTACATGATGTGGTGGGCTCCTTTAGAATTCTCAGCTTGCTTTCTGCCCTAGGAAGGGCTCAAAGCAGCTTCCCCCAAGGTGGGGATAACTGACACCATTACCCAGCTTTGCATTCGACTAACACCAGAGTCCAAGAAGGGCTTGCAGCTAAGGATGAGAGCCCAGGAAAACCTCAGCCATGGAGAGCTTGAGCTGACTCCAAGACTTGTACCTTCAGATGACAACACCATTTGGCAAAACCCTAGGATGTAGACAAGCTCTTCTGTGACCCCTCCCCAACCCCAACAAAACCTAATCCCTTCTACCATCTTTACCTAACAATGGTGACATCAAACACTCAGCTTATCCGGGCAGGGATAAGATGACCTCGCTAACCTTCCTGTCCTGTCAGTAATCAGTAGACACTCATGAGGCTTGGCTCTGAGGTTTTAGCCCCATGCAGGAGGACAGGTCCAAAGGAGTGTGCCAGTGTTTGTTTTTGGCACTAAGTTCTTCGCCACTTGTCCATGACTTGACATGAACTCCACAGGCTTTGGAGTCCCCATCCCGCCCCTTGAGGACCCAATGGGGGATCTTTTTTTTTGGCCCCTTCAGCACCACCATGGTTAGGTCCAACTGCTCTCTCTCTCTCTCTCTCTCTCATTCATGATTTAGTATTAAGGAAGACTTTGTTGCTTTTGTATGCACTTTTATTAGACATGGGTTGTAATAATTAGTAAGCTTTAGTGCTCACCATGACATGAACTGCTGAAGTGTGAATGTAGTTTGATTCTGAACTTTTTCCTTTTTCCTGCCAAAGTTATTCTTTTCTTTTTCTTTCTTCAGAATGCTGTGACAGTTTTGACTAGAATCATCTTCATCATTTGCTTGGATCCAAAGCTCATTGATTGTTCTTATTTAAAGTAGTTGATGGACCTCAAGTTGAGAATGGCAGCTTGTGTCAGTTGCTTCACACCACCAGTTCAGAGTGACCAAACCTCAACCCCATGCCCTCCACTTAAGTCAAGCACTAACTTAGATTAGGTTGTTTAAGTTGTTTAAGTTTATTACCTCATGCCCCTCTCTGTTGGGATAAGCTAATAGGTTTTATAAATAATGATAAAATTTATCATTATTTTAGTAGTTTTAAACATGGTCTGCAGTACCGGTCCGACAGGCTTCCGGTACGCGGACCGTCTGTTATCGGTCCGACACTGTAGCAGAAATGTAGCACCGTAGCAGTGCTACAGTGCTCGGCACGCTTAAATATACTTAGCGGTACACCTGGGTGTACCGCTCGGTATACCGTACCGTACCGGTACCGAGCCCAGGTCGAAACTTCGGTACGGTACGATATTGCGGACCTTGGTTTTAAAATAGATGGGTTAGATATCTAAACTGTTTTATCTTATCTTTTAGATGTAGGTTGATTTTTTTTAAACTTATTTTTGTAAGCCTATTTAAAGAGATTAGTGAAATAAATTTATGTGTTTCCTCCAAACTTTTCTTCTTTCCAATTAATAATTTGGTATCAAAGCAAGAAGACTAGATACCTATCTAGAGAAGACTATATATAGATCGAGAGAACCAAAAGGTTAAAGATCCTTAAAAAACTAAAGATCTAATAATCTAGAAGGCTAGAGATCCTTACAAAACTATAAATCTAGAGATCTAAAAAGTCAAAGACCTTTTAAAAGCTAGAGATTTAGAGATTCATAAATCCAAAAAGCCAAGGTTGAAAGTAGATTAAAGTCTTAGTTTTTCTTTCTATTAGCCTTTGTTTTGCTACAACATATATCAATGGCTTCTGTGAATTGTATGCGACCCATTATCTCTCGATTTAATGATTGTTATTATAATTGGAGTCTGTTGATGGAGAACTTTCTTAAAGTCAAAGAAGTAGCAGTAGATCATAGAATATGGAGTGCCTGAACTAACTAGCATCAGGAGTGATGTTGATCGATGTAGAAAAAGCAAAGTTAGAAGAACAAAGATTGAAAGATATCTTAAGGCAAAGAATTGACTGCTTAATCTTAAAAACAATTCTTTGTGAGGACACTTCTAAAGTATCAAGGATCCACTTGGGATGAAACGAGTGCAGCCTCAAGCACTCGTTTATTGAAGAATTCAAAGATATTGATGAACTTACTATTGATGAATTACAAAGGTGTTTTTCCTTTGTTCATAGTAAAAAATCATCTAATAAGACAAAGAAGAAGAAGAAGCCCGGCAAGTAGCAACCAATTAAAAAGGGTAGAATGAGAGCCTTAACTATGCTTTGAAAATGGAGAACGAGAGCGAGAGAGATTAAAATTTTAATTACAAATAATCTTATCTTAAAAATAAAATAAAATATGCTATATAGGAATAAACAAAAAAAACACTATGAAAAAAGTGAAAAGTTACTATTATTATTATTATTTTTTTAAAAGAACTTGACCTATATATAATCCAGAGGTGATATCCACCGATTTGTTTTAGCCATAGCAAAATCGAGCTCTAAAGAAATAAAAACCTACAAAATGTGGCCAATATATTGAAGAAGTTATCGTAGGACACCTCTTCACATGACAACATACTTTTTGCCTGAGATCCATGAAAGTAGGACATACATATGAAATCAATATTACCGTTTACAGTTGAATCAATGGAAAAATGTGTGTGTATATATATATATATATATATATATATATATATATATATATATGGCCATTCTTCGTGTTTACAATTAATTGTGCCGCAATTGCTGGTATTCCGGTGATTGATATCTTGCATCTCCAGCTACAACCGTAGGTTGCAGTGCTCACCATTCAAACCTGAGCAAGCCAGTAAACAGAAACAACTCGAGTGCTAGACATAAAATTACTTCAGAAGAAACAACGGTGAAAGGAGAATGAAACTCACAGTGACAGTCAAATCCCAATGGCATCCAGAAGCTGAGAGTGCTGCGATACAGAAACTAAAGTATTGGCAACTATGGCACCACTAGCTGCCACCGCTGGGACACCGATCCCCGGAAATGTTGAGTCACCACAACAAAAGAGCTGCGGAATAGGCGTCGAATGGCCAGGGAAAGTGGCTTCTCCAGCTTTTATAGCTGGTCCATACGTTCCTCTGTTCCTCCTGAGGAATCTCTGGTGTGTCAATGGCGTTCCAACTAATTTTACATCACATTTCTCACGGCTAAATCCAGGGCCAAGAGCACGCTCCACTGCTCTCCACATCACCTGCGACCACAAAAACATTTCTCAGTCCGCGGAAAATCACGAGGACTTTTAATTTCACGTGAAGCAACATATCTGAGGAGATTATCGGTCATGAATTCACCAAAAGAGACGGTATAACAACGGTTACATGTCAGATTGCAAGAACTTAAAGCAATGCATTCCACATGTGCATGGATTCAAAAGCAGATAGAATGACAAATTCACTTTGTCCTTTGCCTTTGGTTTAAATTATTTTTAAACCTACTGGAAACTGTGAGTTGCTCAACTAATAAATATAGATGAAGGATGTGATGTCTTGCTGATCCTACTTGACGATAAACGGAAGCACTTAAACTAGCATCAAACAAACAAAATGACACTGCAATTTCAATATGTTTGTCTGAGCAGCACAAAAGTTGCTGATTAATTCATTAATGAATTCTCAATGTCCTTTTTATATGAACTCCAAATGGAAGTTTGACACGAGACAATAGAATAAAAGAAAGAATCAGTAAATACAGGCATACATGAAAGAAACATATGCTATGGAAGTCACCTGTCAAAAAATGTTGATAAACTGACATTGTTTGACTACCTAAAGTGATATAAAAGCAAAAAATAAAAATAAAAAGGTAACACCAATAGTGTAGTTATTGTCTACCTCTGATCTCTCTTCCTTTAGTTTTCGATATTCCATGCTTCTACGGTCGAGCCCTTCCCACAAGCTATAGGGTTCTGTACCAGGCGTATAAGCATGCAAGACATGCTTTCCAGGAGGTGCCAATCCTTTACCATGAACACTTGGAACCGAAATTAATACTACATTCTGATCAGCATCCACACCCCTGCTCCAATCATTAACAACTATGTGATGGATCCCTAGGTCTTCCGAAATATTCTGTCAAATACTTAAGGTTAGTCATTCCCCATAATGGACAAGTATATAAGACTGCTAATAATATAAAAAAGAGATTTGTCTGTTGACAATTATGCAAAAAAGTTAATTCACTCTTAGGATACACCCACATGGTATAGTTTATTGCAATGACATGATGGAAATAAATGGAATAACAAAAACATTGTGCTTGTTTGCTTGTATAATTTCATCTAATCACAATTGTATTAATAGTCATCCCAAGAAAAAGAAGAAAAAAGATAAATTCTTGCTCTGCCCCCGCCAATAATCATCATTCCAGTTCCATAATAGAAATTAATGTAAACGGGCATCTCTGAATGCAAAGAATACAAGAACTTATGTTTGACAAACAACAAAGACCTACAAACGATAATACAGGGAACACAATGATTTCGTCTTTTTAATTGACAAATGAAAAATGCTTTTCTCACTATTGCTTTGGTAACATTCTCATCTGGTCTTATATGGAAAAAGTATATGCTGAAGCCAAGGAATAGAGAAATTCAGACAGCAGATCCTGTTTAGTGTTTATCAAATGCACTAAAATTTGATATTTATGGTGAATTATATTCGAAAAGCAATGTAATTATAAAGGTAAATAATAGTTTACCAAAAAATAACAGACGTCTACATGAATCTTTCATCAGCTGACCTGTGCATCAAATCCCAAATGAAGATGCATGAATGATTCACACTGAGGGGTTGCTTCAACTTGTTCTTTGTAAGTATTTGGGACAACATCTGGAGGAAGTAAATTGAGTGTATCCCACATAGATGCATTGCTAACAACGGCTTTCTTGGCACGTACAAACTGGAAACAAAAAGTACATGTAGATAGACTTGTTGATAGTCTCTTCAATTCTCACTTCCAGAAGAGAGAAAACATATATCAAGACCTACATAAAGTGATCACAAGTACTTACGTGTCCACTACTTAATTTAACACCCGTGGCTCGACCATTTTCAACCACAATTTTGTCAACATGACTGCCAAGTGCTAGTCTTCCACCATATTTCTTCAATCCTTGAACAAGAGCATCTACTACAGCCCCACTTCCCTTCAGTGGGTACTCGAGCACACATCCTGGCTTATACCATTCAGCAAACATATAAACCTGTAAATTTCAAAAAAGCAAAATATATATTAAAAAAAAAGAGAAATAGGCCCTGTAGATGCAAAGACAGGCAATGAAAATTGGAAAGATTGAACACGATTGTTGACTATTCTCAGTGGTTCAGAGAAAAAGGCTGCCTATGTATAGTTTATGCATTCAACGGTCTTAATTGTGCTATCTTTGCAATATGTGAAATTGAAACCTCAGATACAGTCAATTCCAATCGATCAAGATTAAGAAGGCTGCTTAAGTTGGAAAATGGTTCTTAATAAGCACAGTCCACTGTCAATCTGTAAATTTACAGTCTTTCACACAATTCAGAAACTTACAGACAATGAAAAATCATATCACCACACAAATCCTCATAAGGTAAACAGAAATGGACTTACAATTTCTGCTGATATTATGCCATCCGATTTAACTCCTGCAAGTAGAAAGCATAGCAGATCCACCCAATTTCGAACAAAAGGATGTTTCAGCTCAAGAGAATCAATTATCTCTGAGAAGGGTCTCAAAAGTTTTGTAGCACCTAGAGCTCCTTGAGGCCCCATTTGGATAAATGATTTCAAGAGAGATGGAGCATATCTTGCTGCTGCAGTGGAAACAACGCCCCAATCCCCTCGAATAGAAAGAGGAGGTAGAGCCATTGCAGCTGCAGACATTGGAAGAACTGCTTCCTGCAGTGTTATTTTGTAAAACATTTAAAACATCTGGGATAAAAAAATAGTAAGGAATATTTATGCTTCAGTAAAGAAATGCTAAAGTATACAAAATGAACTTGATCAATGAAATTCTGCATGTGCAACTAAAATGCATTTAGTAGCAGTCATACACCAAAAAATGGGTAGTGAGAAAGGCAGGAGATTAATGATCACAGGTGAAATTTTATAAGTTTCCCTAAGCTAAGATTGGGTCTCGTATCTGAGTATACATTAGATTCTGATGTAGTATTGCATGAGCAGCTGGCATGGGGAGTTTTAAGGAAAGCTACTTGAACTTGAACAGAAGATTGGGAAATTTTGGTTTTCAACTCAACCTTAGTTGAGACCATAATGGCATATTTCTTTAGGTACGCTAAGCTGAATAACCACGCAGAGAGTTCCCACATATACTTCTCAGGTTCACAACCTATCATAGAAACAATACACAAGCTCATATGCAAGCATAAATATATTTATATTCCACATAAGTAGGTGTCTACAACGTTATATAAAGTATGCAGACTATATACTTTCCATATACATATACATTTAAGTGTATCTAACCAAGTCAATTTAAGACATCACAAAGAAAAGTTAACCAGAACTCATCTAAAGAAGACAATCTTCCATATTAAAAATATAAAAAGTTAAGAGACTGGCCGAGTTCCTTATGCAATAACAGTGCAAAATATCTCACAAGCAATCATCTTATAATTACACTTTCGACAAGCAATTCTTGGCTACCTAGTTCTTATAGCTTTTCAGTGGATTGAGATATGATATAAAACTATACAGCCAAAAGATTCAGCAGTGATAAACTCAGGTAATTGGTTCTAGGTTATGTCCATTGAAGTATTTTCAGCTGCATAAAATTGTAAAATTAATAGTCGAGGAAACATTAAAAGTTCAATTAACAATCACATGCACAGGTTCATTATGGTGTGCGGTTTTTCCTTTACAAGTGAATAACACCACTAATCGAGAGTTTGATGCCAGATGAATCTGACGAGATTAGTATTTAATAAGGACAACATATATCATCCAAATAGGTGCTATGGGAAAAGATATATGCAAAGGAATTTATTGTTCACACTCACAAGAAGCTTTTTCCACTCATGAACAGCATCAAGACTAACAAACGTCTCTAGGTCCTGTAAAGAAATAATCAATCATCAGGTATCTGAAACTGCTACACTGCTCAATGAACTTTAGTGCAAAGGAAAATTTAAACTTCATAGATGAAGGAAAACCTTTACTGTATCACCATGATTGTGTAAAAAAACTTTACAATTCATGAAAAAAAAAAAATTATATGGCACCATATATAGAATAATAAACTGAGATTCTCTAACAGGATGGAATTAGATCATTGGCTGTCCATAAGTCCAGTGAAATGACTTATTTTATCACATGGCAAATCTATATTTCAGCTGTTCCATGATTATTCTTGTAATTGAAGTTTTATTTTGCCTAGAACAATCTATACCAACTTGCTGCAAGCACAATACATGTGACTGGCACATACCTTCACTGTGCCATGACATATATGCTAGTAAAATTAAAGGGGAAGGATGAAGAAAAGGGGGAAATCTTGGTTCAGGTCTCCTCATCGAGGTGTGTGTTTAGTAAACAAATGACATTTTCTTAAAAAAAGAAAGATGATGCTATAAGATTGCCAAGCTGTGCCAACACATATCCCAACAAAACATTGGCATACTGTTTTAGATAGAAAGATTGACGTTATTACTTGAGCTTATGCTTCTCGACAAAGGATTTAATCCTCATGTGGAGCCATTGCTCCACCATCCTTATAAATGAAGTCATCTCTTCACCATCACAAAAGAACACTAGTTCGAGTCTTCCTCTATCTTTGTCAGAACACAAATCTCGAAAGAAGTCCAAGCATGCTTGCCATGCTAACCCCACTTAAGGACTCACTAATTAAACAAGTTCAATCATGATAATTACATGGACCCCACTTAAAATTGACAATCAGATTTTTACACTGGTTTTGCACAGATTAACCATCAGATCAGGTCGAAATATGGTTACCATATGAGTTCCACTGAGAATCGATGTGTCCAACTTCGATTACCATGTGGGACTTACATAGGGCTGACCATCGTATCAGGCCCAAGCATGGTTACTGTAGAAGTCCTAATTATGGTTAAGCCAGAATCAGATTCGAGAATGACTTAATTGTGGGTCCCACTAATCAGCCACAGGGCCTAGCTATTGTATTATGTGGATCGGATCCATCTGAGAATGGTTATTGTATAAGTCCTAATTATAGTTAAGCAATGAATCAGATTCCAGAATGACTTAATTGTGGGTTCCACTAATTGGGCACAAGCCTGGCTATTGTATTGTGTGGATCCAGTTATTTCTGTCATGGTCACACCTAGAATTGCCCATCTGATTAGATCCAAGTACTATTGCAGCTTCAGCCCTACTCATATAAACCAGTGGTGTAGGTTAACTATGATTATTGTGTGCATCACACACATTTGTTTCATCAAAATCTTGATCTGGTTCATTGTACTTGATGTATATCCACATTGTCATTCATAGGGTAACACAGGGCAAAATTATCCCAAACACGTCAACATATAACTAGTAGAATATCCTCTTAGATTTTAATATTGGTTTTGATTGACCACAAAATTCAGAAAATATTTATATTTCCTATCTGGTTAGTTAGTTCAAGAAGTTCTTAGAGAAAATTTTAGTAAATCACTACAAGCATATTTATGAGAATGTAATACTTCCTACAGCCATTTGGTCAAACACTTGTCAAAGACCAACAAATTCAACAAGAATAGATGATTAAATTATATTTTTTTCAGAAATAATTAGTGTGAGGATTTTTGGAATATAATTTGGTCACATTAAAAGGGTTGATTGGTGTTGAAAAAGGCATAATAAATTAAAGTGTGTTTGACAAAGTGGTTTTATTGAAGTTCTGCCATAGAAAATTCTGATTGCAACCACAGCATGTACAGTTACATATGGTGGACGTCTATTCGAGCATGTACTCAGAAAAGGTCAAACACACAAATCAAAGAACCTATTTAGTACAGATTTATTTATACATCAAAGGTTGGATTATTGGTTGCATAATGTATAGATCTGTGTCAAGCTTATATTCAGCAGGTTTTTTTAAAAAAGAAATGGCAGACTAAATTTTTTGCAACCACTAAATAATCTTTGATATCTTATATAGCTTCATGACAAACAACTGTCGATGCATGTTGTTTTTCAAGAGTTGGATTATGATTTTTATATTAAGCTAGATTTGTAATGCAGTCAGAACAAGGATGATTCTGGCAAAACCATAACAAAAATGAAATTATATAGTTAATATATAAAATCAGAGTCTTGAACTCTTGATCACCTTAAGAAACTCTGTAGGCCCAATCCGTGACAAGAATTCACCTTCAGGAACGTAAACCATCCATGAGTCGTAAGTTGCACATGGAACTGGCTCTCCCAGTGCATCAAGAACCTAAAGTTTATCAAAAGCAAATCAATGACTCATAAGTTGCACATGGAACTGCATCTCCTATTGCATTGAGAACCTGAAGTTTATAAAAAAAAAAATCAATGTTATGCTTTAAAAAAATTGTATATCACTTAGAAAAGAACCTGAGGTTTATGTTCAACATCAATCACAAGATAAATTTAGTAAAAAGTCCAATTGTTATACATAGGAAGCAAGCATGAAAGCATATAACTAACCATAGATAGATTTTTGTCTGAAAGATAAAGGAAATATAGTTATTCAACAAAACAAGCAAAAATTGCTCCAAGACTAAACTCCTGAAACTGCTTCTCAAATAACAAGATATTACCGTCACATATGATTATGCAATCAACAGATGCATTGACTAAACTATTGCTTTTGCTCAACTACCTAGTTCATATGCAGATTATGGTGATAGCAGAAGATGCTACCATGCATTCCCTATCTAAGTTTATAATTAATACATAGTTGCATTTGTTTCAGATGTTGACTAACCCATCTAATACCAAACAGAGAGCTTTGGATGACCACATTGTGCACTATTTTTTTTTGCTTCAAGAAAAGATCTATTTGATAGACAGATATCTACATATGACATCAGGAATAACCTGTGAAAGAGGATTAGCTTGAGGTCCTCTTGACTGAAATCCCGAGAATAAAGATGGTCCTGAATCAAATTTATACCCCTTCACTTCAAATGAATGAGCAGCACCTCCAGGAAGATCATGACTTTCTAAGACAAGAACATCCTGCTGATATCTAGCTAAAAGACCAGCACAACATAATCCACCAATACCGCTTCCGATAACAACTACATCTGCTTCCAGCTTCCCTGAGCGACACATAATGATTAGAAGAAATTTTCAGTGGAACAGTAATCTAAGAAGTCAATATGGTGACAATAAATTAGGTTTGTAAATTGAAATGCTAGACCAAAGTATTCAAAGGATATATTGTCTAATGGAATAATTGTTTCTGCAACTCCAGTGCACATATCGCTAGCTTTCCCAACTAAAATTACCATCACTGAAGTCTTTACCATGTAAAAAAACTCAATCGGGTGTCATATTATTACAGCATGATTACCTGATTAGATGTAATTATTCCTTAAAACGAGTAAACAAGAAATGTAGTTTCCAATGATGAAGTATTGGAAGTAAAGAATTTCCAGTTTCAATGTCATTGTTATTGGTTCATTCCTTGTTGGCGGACTAAAACTATGTTGAAATTAAAACACATGCAAGCACAGACCTGAAAATATGAGGAAACGACTATATGATCAACATGAGGATGCCCTTTTGTATCACAATAATCATGTACATATTTGGAAGCAGTGAAGAAGTTCCTAGATTTTCATGTAGTGAACATTAAAAATCATCAAGAAATCAGCAGATTCAATCATGGCAGAAGAGCTAGCTCCAATCCACTGACTCACTGGTCGGTCCACCGATCCAGTGATGCAAGACTTGGCCACATCACTGCCTGATACAGATCTAGTAACTGTGTTTTTGTATTTGTGTTTGTATTATGTCTCTTCGGAGACATCCGATAACATGTTTTTGTATTGTTTCCAAAAAAAAAGTCTTCTAAGGTTTTTCCTTCTCCCTCCTCACACCACTGATCACTAATTCTATTTGGGCTAGTGCATCCAAATTCTTCTTGAATTTCTATTTTCTAGTCGGTGACAAGTTAATAGACACAGTATTGTTTCCTATTCTGTGGCCACGAGGAAACAATGATGCAAGGAACGTGACCGATCCACATCCGGTTCTTCACGTTCCACGACGGTGAGGAACATCATGATTCGCGGCAAGAACCCCTCGATTTGAGCAGATGACGAACTAACCTACTTCACTCTCACCTGACCAAGAAACAAGTGCCGAAAGGATAACGCTCCAGACCAACGCCCAAACATTAGGTGAGATAGGGATGGGAAGAACATTAGCGCAACATCAGTAGCTGGAACCCCTCGATTCGAGCACATCACCAACTACCTGACATGACAACAGCCTCACTTGACCAAGCAACAGGAACCGACATGACAACGCTGCAGCAATTCTTGATGAACAAGGAACGAATGCCCAAACATTACGTGAGATAGGGGTGGGAAGAGGCGGCACCCGGAAAGGGATTCCTCGATTCGGAGGTGGGCCGGCCGCTGGCGGTGAGCGGCTGCTGGCCAACGGAGCCTCGAGCCACGACCTGCCTCTTCCTCCCCCGCCGGGATCCGAGTCGAGAACGGAGCAGCGCCTTCGCGTGGGACGAGGGGTAACCGCAGAGACCGAGCCCTAGAGACGCCATGGACGATGAGGGGACGAGTCGAGGAGACGGAGGAGGCGGACGACGAAGCGACGAGGGGAAAAGAGGAGGCAGCAGAGAGAGACAGAGGCGCGAAACGGGAAGAACGAACTCGTAAGCTTCCCCGACTTAAACCGCACTTTAGACGGAGGGGTAGGTCCCACCTGGCCATGCCGTCTATTGATCGCCACGCCAACAGGTACAATTTGGGGTACAACCATTTCGGAGGACCGGCCCGGGAGCGCGCGCTCGACCATATCGCGTGTCACGGGCCGCGAAGCCGCCACGCCTCTCGTGTCCGCGACCACTTTGTCCTACGCGGAAAACGCACTGCCTACTAAATGCTCCGTGACTCTCTCACTGACCTTGTTTGCGGGGCCCGTGTGCTCTGGGCCCAGCGATTCGGTACATCAGAGGGCCAAATTTCCGGGGACGGGTGTTTGGAATGATCCTCACATTTATCCGTCTAATTTTATTAGCATATGATTCACACAAATATTTATTATTTGATTCTCTCAGCAGATATGTTTGAATGAAATGAGTCAATTTTTTTATTATATAATACTTTTAAAATATATATTTATTTATTATAATCGATTAACTTTGGTCATTTTTTATAGATAAAGAAAAAAGCATAAATATATATATATATATATATCAAATGATTCATCAATATATTTATCTCATTAAATTTATATATTAAATTAATTTATTTTATCGATCAGTTATATACGTATTGAATTGTACCAAATATATCGACACACGATACACGAAGCTGTATTGTATCACCCATATAATGGGTCCATATCAAATGATTGAGATATAAAATATTTGAATTAATGAGAAAAATAATTTGATGACACTTCATATGAAAGCAAATATGGCCACATTATTGTTGATTTATTAGGCCAAGTAATTACTATTACCAGTGATTAGAATGTGATCTAAGGAAGAGCATTCCAAATTGCCTCATTCCCTTCACCGCATTTGCTGTGGACTTCCACCATCCTATCGACCGGCTTGCAGACTCCGCTACATGTCCAATCGAATGATGCAATGCAAATATCCCCACTTTGTATCTTCCATTCACAATCTACAAAAATATATGGCATCCATCATTAAAGTCAACAATAATCCATATATATACATTCTATTAATCAACTTTTTAGAGTATAAAGAATTTAAATATGTTAGTATAGATATTTTTTATTTTTTAACTAAAATCAATTTTCTTAGAGTATAAAGAATTTAAAGATAATGAATGAAAACTTCTTTAATATTTATGTGAGCGAATATACAAAAGACTTTGTATTCGTATTTACATTACATTGTTATGTAAAGCCATAATAATAAAGTCATTTTGTATAACAATAAAACCTAAATATTTTTTTATTAGAATAAAAAGTCAAATCTTAATACAATTTTGATACTAAAAATGGATCAATGCATTTCACATCTCTTAAACTAATAGACAAGAATAAAGCATGTTGTTTAGTTGATTATTTCATGGATGGATTGTTGTTTGGGGTGTGTGTGTGTATATATACACGTATAAAAATACCAGGAGGTGTTCCACAACACATTCCTCGTTCATCGATGTGCTCAACTTCCAAGCCAATCAACCACGAACCTAAGGATACATCCTCGTTTGCATACTTGTGAAGTATTGGCCTACAAAATATAGAGATTAATGACTCACCACATATAAGATAGTATAATATTTATATGAATCTACTATAATATAAGTTATACATAAAACATTTGAGATCATATTATTTAGAATGGACTTAAACCATTTTGGTTCGGGTCGTTTCAATATTTTTTTTTTCGGTCGATCTTTCGACTCATCTAATTAATTCTTCCTAATTATTAAAATTTATATACTTTTTTTAGTGCATTAATTTCAAATTATGAAGCAATTTTCTGTAATAATTTCTGAATTGTTGACATAAGAAAATGATTAACTAAATATTTCTTCCACTAATTCATTTTGTGCATCTAATTCCTTTTCTTTGTTGCTCTTTTGCAAATATAATATATTATAATATTTACATGAATATACTATAATATAAGTTAGACATAAATATTTAAGATCATATTATTTAGAATGGACTTAACCATTTTGGTTCGTATTCAATCTTTTTTTCGGTTGATCTTTCGACTCATCTAATTAATTCTTCATAATTATTAAAATTTATATTTATTTTTTGTCAGTACATTAATTTCAAATTATGAAGCAATTTTACATAATAAAATAAATAACTAAATATTTCTTCTACTAATTCATTTTGTGCATCTAATTTCTTTTCGCCTCTTTTCTTTATTATTCTTTCGCAAATATATAGTAGATTATTTAGATATGTATGTATCAAGAATATAGGAGATTTAAACTTACGCATTTGTGGAGATATATAAAGCAAGATCTTTGGAGATGGCATAGATTTGGCCAGTGGCATGTCTAAAGTACTTGTTCCCTTCCTCTCCGAACTTCCAAAACTCTGGTTCATGATACTTGGCATCCCTAGAGAAAGAAAAGAAGAGATGAGATAGCTTTGCACAAAATCATATGTAGCATATCATGACAAACACAACCTCGATCTTACTTTTGGAACAAAACTTGATCGGATTTCATGCATCCAATGTATACTCTTGGTGTGGTTCGATGTCGAGCAAGGGTTGCGATAAGCATTCCTGAAATAATATAACTCACCTAAGTCGTAAAAGAACAATCTTAAGACTTACGATCATATAAATTTAAGTAATCGATCGAAAATGAAACTTTTAGAATGATGACATATATAAAAGGGATGAGAATATTAAGGTAAATATATAAAAATTTATTTAGAATCGATTTATGTCAGAAGAAAAGAATAAACTAATGCTTAATTTATTTATATCTTACTGAGATGAAAATATTATGTTACATGTATAGAATTTTAGGAAAGATTAAAAAAAATATACATGCGAATAATTAGACCTAAATCCGATAAGAAATATTTTAAGATGGCTTGTAGGCGAAGATATGATATAAGTGGTACAAAAATAGGTTTAAAAAAGAATATTTTACTAAATATTATAAATAATATATATTTTTAGTTTATAAAGATATTTTTTTGTATACTAAAAAAAATCCAAATATTAATTCCAGTTAATTGAAATAGTATGACTTATTATTGTTATAAATTAGTGTTGATGAAATGAATTTATTGAGCTTTGTAAATTATTGGTTAATTTATATGTGAAAAAACAAATATAATATATAATTAAATATTCTAAAAAGACCTATAGATGAATAGAAAGATAAAAATTATAATATATATATATATATATTCATCTAACTAAGAATATTATTTTCTATAGAGTTCGACGATGAAAAATTAACACATACAGTTATTATTATTATTTTATAGCGTCGTAAATTAAGAGCTTAATCCGTATTTATTGGTGATGGAATTATATATGGTGAGAGCTGACCGAGATTGACATGCACGTCATCGTCAACCTTGGCGTAGAAATCGGCGTCCCACGTGGCTACCGCCGTCGCGAAGAACACCTTGGTCTTCGTGGAGAGCTCATGGTATCCCTCCAAGTGCTCCAGCCTCAGGAAGTCCTTCGTCTTTGCGTCTTCTTCGTCGATCGCCCGATCAAGAGCTCCTCCGGGCGTGGCACTGCGGCCGATCACGAACCGCACGACCACGCCCTTCTCCTCTTCCAATCTCCTCAGCTTCGATCCTGCAGAAGGAACAGAACGGTACTCCTCGTCCGCTGAGCATCGAAACGAAGAAAGGGAGAAGAAGCCTTGTCTCTACGACCTCTCGGCATCCATGTCGCTCGAACCGATTCCCGCCGCTTCTTGCTGCTGAAAGCGGTGTTGATTCCGACGACGACGAACGCCTTCTTCGGGCCTCGTCCGAGGCTGTTCGTCCTCGCTGCTGCCAGTTCCGTCTCCAACGATGCGACGAACTTTTCCAAGGACCTTGAGATGGATGGATAGAGAGAGGTCGAATTGAGACGAGCAAAGCGGATCATGGCGGGGAGTCCGTGAGAAGTGCGCTCACCAGATTGCTCGACGGGTGTTCGATACTTCTCTCCTTATGTCTCTCGGATTGGGTTCGCCTAATCTCTACGAACACACGTAACAATGGGTGAGCTTAACGTCGAGTCGGGAGGGGGTTAACAGGAAGCATTGCGTACGCGGTTGCGCTCGCAGTCCTGCGCGGAGTTGGCGATGTTCGGATCGCAAGAAGAGGAAGCAGCTCTTGCTCTGTCATCCGATGGCAGGAAGTCGACTCCCCTGCTGAAGAGCACACCCAGGAGGAAGCAGGCCGCGCAGAGCAGGGCGGCCGCCCTCGCGCGTAGCGGCGGCCTGCCGCGTTGCCTCTTCTCCGACTGCTGCTGCGGCCTCTCGATGCCTGCCTTCATCGACCCAACCATCAACAACATTTCAAACCAGAGCAACGATGAGGAAGCAACAGCATGGCGATGTGAAGCGATTTCTACCATGATTTGCTTCTCTGCTGGCAGAGGTTGATGGACGCAAGTGCAAGAACCGATAAATGACAAGGTGTTTGAGAAAATGACACATGATAATAATTGCCAATGGCAACACTAAAATGAATGGGAATGGGATCATCTCGCAAGACATTTGTTGTGAGCTTGGCTCATGCTGTGTGTGTGAAATGGTGCAGAGTGTTGTATGGATTGGGGACTCTCAGATGTTACAGAACTTGTCACCAACCATTAGTTCAAGGATTCCATAAGCCAAACCTCTCATAAAACCACACTAACACAGTAAATTATTGTGCATGGCCTGCATAGCTCAAGGATTCCATAAACCCTAAAGAACTTCCACTGATCCTATCTAAGATTATGGGTTCAGATTCACCATTTGGTAATATGAAGTTTGTCATCTTAAATCATGACACTTGACTTCTTTTAAGGGTTTGCAGTAACAAGCAATCAAAACCACCAGCTATCAGAACAACATCACTTTCTTGGAAATGTAGGTTTACATTAGGGCTTAAATCTACAACCTTTAGTAGGTTGGTATCAGAAAGTAGATTCTTAGTTGCATGAAACTCCATTTTGATCCATCAAGAATTTAGAGTATCATGACACCTTCCTCTACATATTTCTCCAATCTGCATGTAAATCTCTTTTGTCTTCTTGTCAGCATATCTTAGACAGAGTTTACCAAAGACAGACTGCATGAAGGATTGACAGACTTTGAGTTGCTTTCAGTGGTTTCTTTGTCTAAATCACATGAGTAGAAAAACAAACTGTATTCTGATCACTGAATAATGTCAATTTTCTTTGTTGTTTGATTAAAGTAATATGAGATTAAAGGTCTACTACTCCACTCCCATTTTGCTTTTCTGGTGCAACTGAGACACAGCACTCTGCTGTGCTTTCCAACTGGTCATCCAACTTTAGTTCCTTCTCATCACTATAACATGTCATGGAAGGAAAACAAAGGTTAGTGGATGTTCCTAATGGGATTAGACCTAACTTGCTTTGAACACTCCTTTTATTGTGGGACAGTACTCAATTATTAAAGGAAGCAAAGCATGATAAAGAGCAGTATCATTCCACCACTAAGTTGGGTGCAGTGCTAAAAAGTTAGAGGAATAATTAGTAAGAGGGTATTGTGGACTTAATGGTTCTTTTAGAGTGGAATATTCTGAGCTTCCATGAGCTTTGAGGAGGTGAAGCTGCTGTAGTCTTCTTCGGCACAGGGCAGGTTGATGGCAGCAGAGTCTGCAGATGGATTGTATGAGTACCATCTGGACCAGTACAGGTAGTTGACGAAGTTGACGAGGCTGAGCGCTGCAAGGAGCCAATAGAAGAGGTCCAATCTGTCCTTGTCCAAGTTGTTGTCACTGAGCCACCCACTCCAGTGAGCACCGGATGACACCTTGTTCACCAGGGAGACGAGGAGAGAGCTGAGGTAGAACCCAAATGAGTAGGAGCAGTAGGTCATGGCGGTGAGGAAGGACTGCATCCCGGCCATGGACTGCTCGTAGAAGAACTCGATGAGACCCACGGCTGTGAACATCTCCGAGACGCCGAATATGAGGAACTGTGGTGCGATCCAGAAGATGGAGAGTTGCTTGTCTGAGCCAACGGCAAGCTCTCGCCTCTTCTTCTCCACCAGCGCGGCTGAGACCATGGAGAACGTCACGGTGAAGAGGCCCAAGCCGATGCGCTGCAGCGAGGAGATGCCGGAGTCCGTCTTGGTGAACCTTCGAGCGAGCGGCACGAAGCCGATCTCGTAGAGGGGGACAAGGACGATGAGCATGAGGTAGGGGATGGCCTGCAGGGAAGCAGGGGGGATCTCGAATGCTTCGGTGACCTGAGTGTTCATGGCGCTTCCTTGTTGCACCGAGAAGGTCTGGAGCTGGGCCAGTATGGTGTTGAAGATGATGGTGCATGCAAATATCGGGATCACGGAGAGGATTATCTTCACCTGCTCGACTTGGGCGACCGTGCACAGCGTCCATGGGCTCTGCTTCCTGTCGGCCACTCCCTGGATCTGCATGCATGCTTTGTCCAAGAACCTGGAAATGGTTGGGACAAACTTGTCTCAGAATTCAATAGAACAAAAGGATGGTGGACAAAGAATTCGAGCTAACCTGAACTTTTCGGTGTGGACGCTGCCTTGACGAAGCAGCTTAGTGTTGGGGGAAACTTGTTTTCTCTTGATGATTGCTGCCACAAGAACCTGCCACAAGTTCAACAGCTTAAGCGATCATGAATGGCTATCCGATAGAACAGTGACAGGGAATTAACAGAGCTTACTCTTGCAATTGGGGTGAAAAGGGACCCCCGTGGGGGCTTGTTTCTGTAGTACAACATGCCACAGATCAAGCTAATGAGGCCGGCGGCCATGGTGGCGGCCGACAAACTGAAGCCGACATCCATTCCCGACCGAGTCTGGACCCAGACAAGAACTGTTAGAGCGATGAGTTCTCCGACGCAGAAGCTGAAGTAGGCGGTGTTGAAGTACGTCGAGAGCTTCTTGGAGTGGTTGGGATCGTCCTTGGTGAACTGGTCAGCCCCATGAGAGATGATGTTGGGTTTGAGGCAGCCGCTCCCCAAGGCCACCAAGTAGAGTGCAGTGTAGAATACGAGTGCCTCGAATCCTTTGGCCTCCACGCAGCGATCGCCTCCTTCCGACATCATGTTGCAGTGAGGAGGCCTCAGTTGGGGGAGGTGTGCTTGCACCGTGAGCAGCAGGAAGCCCTGACATCAACAACAGAAAAAGCTTGTTCGGATGGTTGTGTTTGGAACCTGAAACATGCAGTTGAAGCGAGAAGACATACTGAAAGCTCGACGAAGCCGAAAGCCAACATAGTGCGGAAGCTCCCAAGATAAGAGTCTGACAAGAATCCACCGAGCAGAGAGAGAAGGAACACAGCGCCTATGAAGTTGGTCACTATGTTTGCGGATTTGGATAGAGGGAAGTGCATGTCGTTGAACACATAGGTTATGAGGTTGTTGCCTACAGCTGCAATGGCCATCATCTCCAGTGCTTGAAGTCCTGCAGCAAAGAAAGAACAAAACTCGAGTATAGACAGATTAGATAGATAGATAGAGAGATAGAGAGAGAGAGAGAGAGAGAGAGAGAGACCTAACAAGAAGGCAGCAGCTCGCATGCCGCCATGCTTGGTGGGCATGCAGGATCTGCCCTTCCAATCGAGGAAGACCACGGCATGCATGGATTCCTCACCGACGCTGTGCCTTGCTTGAGCATCCATGTCTTAGCTTCACAGGCACCGAGACGCTCTTCGGAGGCTTACAACCAAACTCAACCAAGAAAAGAGAAGGAGATGTCGTTCCCAACACAACCAGGGTAAATCCTAAACAGCTCGATTCAGCTATTTATATTGTTTACCAGAGAGGGCATCGTGGAGAGGAGAATGATGAGCTTGAAAACAGCCACTGGGTAGTGCTGCTCGCGAATCAAATTTTGTAATGCCATCTTTTGGTGGACATTCCAATAAGTTGGACCTTCCCACAAGCTAGTATAAGAGCTGCAAGTACACAAAGACTGCATCTACTGCATGCAAGAATCAGCTGCTGGCTGTGCGGATATGGTGGTTACATGTACGTATAGCATCTACAGAGGTGGTGGCAACAAAAAGGACGAGATGTAAAGCTTGATGTTGAAAATTGAGCCTGGTTAAGCTAAGTTTTCTCAAGGCAAGCGGAAAAGACAAAAAAAAAGGTGTCTTCGCGGACATAATGGAGCATCGTGCATAAGGATCGACCATATTAGAGTAAACTAGCAATGGTGAATGCTATCCTGTCTCGTTCTCTTTCGGTTGGCAACTAAGGGTTACTTGGCCAAAAAGTGAACGCCATGTTCTACTTCTTAAGTGCCACCAACTGGGTGATGTCACGTACGTCTGTAGGGTTGGAAAGCCTAAGAGGGGGACACCATCATCAACCCTCCTCCACTGGAGCGTGGCGAAGTCGTCTCACCGATACGATTCATTGCGTGTGTGTGTGTTTTAACGGAGCAGACACACTTGCCCGGTGCCCACTCGCGGGGTTGCGGTGTAACTTGAAAGGTCAAAAGGGAAACCATACCAGCGTCATGGCTTCTGCTGCACTCCACAACCGCTGGGTCGTCTCAGTCAGTGCACGATTTGGTACGTCGCCATCCCATCATCCAAAAGGGAGTTTAATAGTGATTTGTCCACGTGGTCGTGACTCGATCGCAAGTGAATTGATCGAGGAATATGCTGGCGAGGGCAGCTGTCCCGGTCAAAATGATACCTCAAATTTTTTCTGTTGAATCGGAGTATCCCCGGGCAGCATGACTCTGGATTTTGTCTCCTTGTCCACAAGAACAGAACTTTTAAGAACGGACAACATAGGAATAGAAGATATTACTGAATGCCGAGGAAACCTGCATCGAATCTGGTGGTGGAATTAATGCAGCAATAAAGTGGGGGCGATATATGAAGAGACAACTACTTTATGTAGCTCCCAAGTGGTCAACCTGTGCATGATATGTTTTGAATATTATGCAGTTGGATTGCCTGATGTGGGAGACACATCCCACCACCAACACCACCACCATTAACAAGTATCTTCGAACGGCCCAATGCAATCACTGGAGCAACACGCTACGTAATTGCTGAAACCGATCTCTTGGCCATAGAGAACGTCGACTCATAAAAGCCATCTTCAAAGTTCAAATTACTTCCAGATTATACATGCTCGATGCAGTAATAGTGGTGGTTCATTTAACTTTGACCACCTACACGATTATTTACAAAAACACAATGGGAGGCATGCAGTAGTTGTCGAGACGGGGAGAACGGTCAAGCATTACTGCGCCATCTAAGCTGCTCGAACTGGAAAGTGAATTATCATCTGCACAAGCAGCAAATCTGACATAGCGTTCAGAGAGCTTGCACGAAAAGCATCATAAACATGAAGACCATTTTATGACAGAGAATGTCCGAGCAAACAAAAAGGTGACCCTGTGAATACGAAAAAGAAGCGGTCTCCTCGTCCATCCACTTCTTCATATGTTTGTCACTTCTAGCGTGTTTGAGGAAACCAAATGGAAAGAGGTCATGAACCACTTGATATTCTTCATAGTTTTTCAGCTATCTCATAGTTCAGTCTGAGTTTGAATATTGACAGACATATTCATGCAAAAAAAGCAAAAAGCAAAATGAAATTGGAAAAAGATTGATTGTGCTTAAAAATTCATCTGTCAGAACAGAGAAGTGAATATTACTGACCATCTCCATCCACGATGTAAGGGCTTCAACTCAAGGTCCGCTTATTGAATGACTCGATTGTCAAGTTAGCCGTGAATGCAGGTATCGAATTCATCTTCTTTATAAATATCTCAATCTGCAAAATGGAACAAAACCTAGTCAAAATGCCCTTCGGTACAAATGGAATTCCATAAATAAACATATCCTGTATTATAAAACCAACAAACTGCAAGGCATAAATAATTGATGTTTAAAAACCTTTGAAGCTCATGATACCGGCCTCATGGATCTACTCTATACAGAGAGGATCAGAGACACAGCAAATCTACACTTTAAAAAGAGACTTATCACTACGTCAAAATAAAGAAGGGCAACTCTATATTGCAAAAAGGAACTAAGAATGCACTGCTTTTGCAAAAGAGGAAGTGTGGATCTTTCCAGCAAATTCAACCATACCAAACAAATGCTGCAGTTCTTTTTTTTCCAATTAATTCTCCAGATAATTAGCAGCACTTCTGCCTACTAATGGTTACAAAATTCCATATCTTTCTACTACCTGCTAGCAGAGTTCTGTTCACCTATGCACCAATTACTTCACTGTCCAAGTGCCCTTATCTAACATAAAGTGCATATATAATATGTAACAGTTCAAGGAATATGGAGTTCAGACCAATATAAACCTAAAACTACACCAAATTTTGTGTTGGCTATACTCCACCACAAAGTTGAGCATATCGAAACGATTAGGGAAGCATAAGAGGAGTATCCGTGAAATGGTTAGGGAAAAAAGGGTAATCATCATAATAAAAACATCAAGTTCAAACATAACTTTTAATGCAAAGATCGGGATAGGATCAGGGTGTCAGCTAGCACAATATATGAGACAAGGACCAGAAAATTTAAATAAATTTATATTGTAGAAGAAGGTGAATATGACTTGCTTGTATAGAGGCAGCCTTTCCAAAGCTTAAACCAAAAGGATGTCAGAGGGCATCATTTCATGTAAGTCATAAGTAAAGCTTGAGTGTTTCTGCAATCATTTTTTTGCAACCAAAGTAGCACAATAATCGTTAAAATATTTTTTTTAGAAAAGGCCAAGTGCATGAAGGTCCTGATGGTGCAGGACCTAGAGATGGTTTACATGGAGCTTCACCCTTGCATGCAAAAAAGGCTGCTTCCAAGACTCAATAACAAATGACTATACAGAAGTTAATACAATGAACACTAAACTCATGCATACCTGATGACATATCTCTGGTTGAGAAGAGTAGTCATTAACCTATATCACCAAAATCCAATTCCAGGTTCAAACAAACCAGTGACAGTATAGCAGCATTACATCATTTCGGTAGATAATATTCATACCAATATGTTTGTATTTCCTGATTCATATTCAAATTCCAGCTTTTCATCATCACTTTGAGCATATATAGATTGCAGTGTGAACCGTGTGATAGGAATTCCATCAGGCCGGTGTTGATCATCCATTACAATCTAAAAAGACAAAACGTAAGAAGGTCAATAAGATGCTTCACACCAGAACTATGGATCCAGCATTGTAGGTTAATAGATTATATAAGAAAATAACATTTGAAAATTGAACACACTGAGTTTACTTAAAAACAGGTTAAAACAGAGTTGTAAAAGATGCACCATGGAGATCATACTATTCACAGGGGTTTGAAAGGGACTCAGAGTAGAGATAGGATGAATAATACTAGTTATTCTGCCTAAAATGAACATCAACATCAAAGAGCACCAGACATAAGCTCCAAGTAAAGACCAAAAAGAGAGCTTCAAATCCTGAAAGAATCCAGCTATCCTTTCCAGGATCATGCAACCCATAAATGATAAGGTACTAGTAGATATAATTTAGCTGAGCTAGAATATGAACATAGCTGCATAGGTAATATCACCAACAAAATTGCATTTTGTATCAAATTTTAATACTGCTATCAGCATGGAAAATGTGAGAAACAGCTGTGGAAGAAAGTACAGTAGGCTGATGGCACTAAATCTGGTCCAAGTTTCCACTTCATCAACATGGGTTCATTTCAAGCCTAACCATTAAAACTCTGGCTTAGTAATCAAGAAATGGAATTGAAAAAAAAAAGAAAAAGAAAACATTGTACAACAAAAAGAAAATGGTGGGAGTAATCGATTGCTACCTGCCATAACAAACATGAACAAATTGATATATTTAAGAACATATGCCTTACTAAAAAAATATTAAAAAATACAAATAACAAATTTTCTAAACTGACAATCAAGGAATAAATAACAAACTGACAGATTCTACATCTGGTATGATTGAATAGACAGCAACAGATATACATGTAATCATTTGAATTCTTCCATATAATTGGGATATTACCTTATATCCAAACAACAAGCAACAGGCTCTTCTAAATACTGAAATTTTCTCAGCAAAAACTGCCTTGTATCTGCTTTGTACATAGCACACAGTTACAATAATTCCCCATAACAATGATGATGATAACAATAATAAAAATCTGAACATGTTCATATGGGCCAATCTTCCAATCACCTCTCTTCACGTTTCTCAAGTGTTGCAATCTGACCTTTAAGTTGTGCTAGTTTTTCAGGTATGCCTCCATCAATGATATTGGTGGCATCTGCAAAGCATATAACTCCATTAGGTAAACAGAATAAGGAAAAAGAAAAGGCTATTAGTAGTGCAGTCTTCCTAGTCCTTGTGCAGACTGGTTCAGGTACTAGTGCAGTGGGTGTACCAACAAGTGCAGACCACTACGAGTCCAGCCACTGGAGTTGAAGGAGATGACAGCAGCATAGAGGACGAGGAGGATGCTGGTGATGAGGCAGGTGCGGAGAAGGTGGCAACACAAACTGGGAGCAAGTGGTGGTGGCAGCATGTGACAGGAAGGAAAAAAAGGCGGTGACTTGGCAAGGTGGAGAGGAAGAGAGATGTGGGGGGGGAGAGAGAGAGAGGGAAGGAAAGCAAAGGAAAAAAGAAGAGACAATTATCTCACAGGTGCATGTACCAGGCAGTAGGTTTACCGCACAACGCACCTATATACACCGATCAAACTGTGATCAAACGTGCATCATACATTAATTGTACTGGATAGTAAACCTATTTGAACTAGATAGTGAAAGTGAACCAACCATGGCTCAGACCTGTGAAAACTGCCTTGCAGTGGCATGATCTTTCTTTTTTATGTTGACTGACGGTAATCAAAATGGTAACCACAGAAATGAACATGCATCAATCTGGAAGCAGCAATGTATTGAAGTTATACTAAATTTATCAGGCATGATAACAACTTAAATATTCCCCAGTTGAAATGAGTAGAAATCTAAATTATGTTATTTCTAATCCTAACAGTTCAGAACTGAATCTCCTAGTTAAAATAAATTAATGTGATGTGTTGCAATCCATATTTTTAATCAGCCTAGTTCAGTTATTGAAGCATTGTAACCCTACACCACAGAACATAGATAATTTATGCTGGACAAGAAGCTTTGGATGATCATTATGGTACATAATTACTCTTCATAATTTTCATTAAATGATACTAATAGTAAACAACGATGACAGACAAAGTAGAATAATATTCTCTAAATGCATACCAGTTTTCTGCTACCAGGCAGTTGCACATAACAAAGAGCAATTTGTCATGGAATTATACAAAAGGTTCAGTAGAGCAGCTTAAAAAAATCATGTAACAGATCAATGTTCCATAAACAAATATGCAATGCCTCAATCCAAGATTCTAAATCTTGTGTACTGGATTCATGCCAGACCATGGTCGGACCAACATGGGTCTGATCCATACCAGCATAGGATACACCGGTATATACTGTGATACAAAGACGAGAAAAAAGGGAAAAAGGAGATGATGAAGAAAAGCAAAGAAGAGGAGAATATGAGACGTAGAAGGAGAAGCACCAGGAGGTCCAGCAGCAGCAGATGGTGGGTAGACCTGCTGTGAGGCAGGTGGCAGCACGAGTCACGAGGAGCACCTATCTGTGTCCCAACCCTAAGCCTTCTGCTTTACAATATAGAACCAGACCGGAGAACATCCTGTGCTTCGATCTATCTGTAGGCAACTCACAAAATACTAGTAGCTATAGGCCTGAAACTTTCCAGATTCATGAAGATCAACTCATAAAGTACAATGGATCATGTGGTTATTCCAGTTGTCAATAAATGACAACACACATCAGGAATTATGGTTCTTACATGTTCAAACCCACCAAGACTGCATTTATGGATTGGGAGATGCAAAAATCAGGAAAGACACAGAAAAACACAATATAAGAAACACAAGACAACACAAAACGAAATGAATGCCTACTTTAATAATTGGCTTAAGTTCTTACTCATTAAAATGACAAGTTTATACCAGACTGTCCCTTCAATTCTTCAACAGCTTGTAGCTTTGCCTGTGTTCTTTTCAGCTCAGCCCTCAGTGCTTCTATGGTATGCTTTGCTTCATTATCGACTGCTAGCGTATTTACCATGCGCAGCACCTTTGTGTTTGCGGCAGAATAATCACCATGTCCCAGCTGTGTTAGAAGTACCAGTTTCAATAGGTACAAGTTATTCTTGGTTAAAACCTGGTTCTTGATTTATGTATACTAAAATGTAGTGGCAACATAATTTATATATTACCAAGTACCAATATAAGCAGATACAGAACCAAAAAAGAAAAGGGAAAACCAACACCAAAGAACCTGGCTAAGGCAAGAAATAATCTTTTTTCTTACCTTTGACTCCAGTAAAGATATCTCAGAACGTAACCGATCACCCTCCCGCTCCAAGGATTTAACTTTTCTTTTTTCAGTACTTAGCTGTTCATTCAATAGCTTAAGTTCATCATGTAGACGATGAACCATTTCTCGCTGTTCATGCAAATTACTCTCCAGTTCTTTGATCGTGTTTTCCCTTTCAACAAGAGATGACTCCATATCCTATAGTTTACAAAAATAGCAGTAATGTGTGAATACTGAAGGATTAAGTTCATTAAGAGATTAAGATAAAGACCCTTAATAACTTCAAAAAACAAGACGCATGCAGCCTAACCTTGACTAATGTTTCAGTTGATAGTCCACCTTCGTTCCCAATCTTCTGTTTACTTAACATGATAGCTTCCTTTTTCACCCTATCTCTTTCTTCCATTACAGAAGAAAGCTGTTATTTCAAAAAGACAATATCAAACAGTTACTAATACATTAACCACATATATAAAATACAAAATATACAGAGACAAAACTGGATAACAACAAGAGGCATCTCAAGCACAAAGGCATTGACATAAATCTGGTATGACTTTTTCCCAAGCAACAGCAAATAAGCAGGTCCACACTTATGTCCAAAAATGAGGTTTCACCAGGATAGAATTTGAAAACATTCTGCATGTTTGCACTCTGTACATCAAGCATGGAACAGAGGTATAAACCTATTATCATGTCCTTTCAATGAGTATTGCATAATAAGTATTATAAGTAACATGCACCCACAAATTTCTATTGTTGTATAGAACATAAAGGTACACTTGGTAGCAAAGAACAAAATGGACACAAAAAGATGCCAGTCTAAGACTGGTAGGATACTCCAAGCCATGTGTGGTGACCCAAGCCTGATGGGCTAACTGGCCTATCAACTTCATTTGATTTAAACCACTGACCAAAAATGCTTAAGCTGAAATTGATAATAGTACACTCATTAGACCTTTATAAGCCAATCTTAATCTTGTTCACTTCCGATGTGGGACTAATCAGGATTTTTCAATCTCCCACATTCAAAAGCTTGACATCCTTGTCAAGGTCCGACATAGCCAGATTAAACTCTAGCATGGTGTATGTGAGGCCTAGCCCAGTAGTAGCTCCACCTGGGCCTGATGGGCTAACTGGCCTATCAAATTTCGTTTGACCCAAACCACTAGTCAAAATGTTTAAGCCGAAGTTGATAGTAGTACACTCATCAAATAAACCAATATTAGTATTGTCCACTTCCGATGTGGGACTAATCGAGGTGTTACATTATGTTTAAACCTTCATATGCCTAAGGTCTGTGCAAATAGTCAGCTTACTACACTCCAAGTAATCAACATAATTGTATGGCTGTTACATAGTAAAATCAGTTCCAACACACACAAGGCAGTACCTACTCCAGTGGCCTTAACAACATACAGGACTACATAAACCACACAAAACTTGGTCAATTTCAACCATTTAACCCACTCATGGCTGTGACCGACGTCATACACAGACCTTTTTATGTGATGATTCAAACCTAATTTGATCCAACAATAGAGTGGCCCTGCAAACCTCGCCTCATTGTTGATCACGGGCTAACCCTACAAATCAATCAGCAAAGACCAGCTATAAAGTGGTGGCTGGCAGCAGGTATTTCTAGTATTTTTCCCACTGTTTTTTATTTTTTATTTATTGCATATATGCCGATGGAACTTAATCTTTCTTATACATATGCATGTATGTGGCCCTAAGATGTGTTTTTCTTTTTTTGGCCTTGTGCACGCTTGCTCTAAGATTTAGAAAATTAGGATCTACCAATGGGGGAAAAAGATACTGGATTATGTGGTGCAAATTGGAAGATCCGGTTTCAGCAAAAAACAGAAATCAGTATTTAGAATTTATTAGAAATGAAAAATAATATAACATTGAGAAACTCCAAAATATTGAAATTTAATCAAAATACATTCTGTTAGCATTCAGTTGAAGCATTAAAATAATTGGAGCTAAAGAAGCTTTTTGACATTTGTCTCTGTTGATGTACATGCACAATTTTATTATGGACATTTGATTCAATATATATGCTTTTATTTAATCATCATGTGCAAGCATTATTAAATGAACCTATGTCATGTCATTTTTAAATTCATTACCATACATAAATTCTTCTATAAAGAATAATTTACATAACATGTTATAGATTTATAGTATACTATTTATTGGTAGTTATTTACTATATTATGCATGTTTTAATCAGGTAAAGAATAGCAAAGGGAACATATAAATATACTAGAGAAAAAGAAACTATTTAATAGAAAAATGAACAAATGAAAACATAAAAAACATAATGTGTTTAAATAATAATGAATAGAGAATCATTACCAACTAGAACAAAAATAGTTTAAGAAAAAAAATATTGTGAAGATCAAGAATTTGTTTAAAAAAATTGTCTCTGAAGAACAAAGAAGTTACTTAGAGAAAAAAATAAAAAGTATATTCTATTTAAGTATATAATAATTTAAAGATTATAAAAGATATTGTTGGTAAGGACAATAAAAAGTTGTGTTTGGCCGGACCTAAAACCAAGCAAAGATCAATCTTTATGATAAATCTTGTATTTAAGTCCTTTTTTTCCCTATCTATTGTTTGTTACTGAGTGCTAAAAGCGACTGTCTGACTCATCAAGGACTACATCTTTCACTAGCGTTGGCCACCGAAGGATTCACAGAAAAAATGGCGTACCCAATGCACGAGACTCCTGCTAATGCGGGGTCTGGGGAGGGTCAATGTACGCAGCCTTACATTTCTTTAACCTTGACAGAAGCCCTACCTAAAAATGCCACAAAGCGGCAATTAGCAGCCACCAGGAGGTAGCACAAACCACTGGAACTCAAACTGGCAGCGTAGATAAGTCATACCCAGATTCTAGTCAATATGGGACCCCAAAGTGACCAATCCTGATTCTTTTAGGGTGTATGAATATTGGCTCCAGCTTATCCTGACACCAATTAAATAGGCTGATCTTTTGAACCATAGCTTAATCATCGTTAGAGGATTGCTTAAGAAATAAACAAACTTTGTGCTACTTCTTCTAGATCCTTCCTTTACATGGGCATCATGGGATGTGAGTGACTGAGATGGAAGAGCTATGTGTGGTGCAGTTGATCACTAATAGTGATGCACAAATTTAGAAGACCAGCAAGACCCTGATGGAGAGTTGTGGACATATGTTTGAGACACCCTATATGGTACATTGCACCAACATAATGACAAAGGATATCGATAACACCAATAGATTAGAGAGGACCATATAAAACAGAGAAATATTTATCCCTGTTCATAATCACCACTAGGTGTCCCCTACAACGCAAGCATACACACAGGTAATATATTGCGGGAAGCAGAAAACAACATAAATGGTTTGAATATAGCAGCAGAAGCTTTAGAAGATTAAAAATAAAAGAGGGAAATCGAAGTGAAAAAAGGTGGAAATTTGACAAGTAAACATAATATAGAATGTAAGTCATGTTGCTAGTTTTTTCTTTTCTTTTCCTGAAATAGCATAATGAATGACCATATAAAACAGAGAAATAGATTAGAGAGGACCATATAAAACAGAGAAATATTTATCCCTGTTCATAATCACCACTAGGTGTCCCCTACAACGCAAGCATACACACAGGTAATATATTGCGGGAAGCAGAAAACAGCATAAATGGTTTGAATATAGCAGCAGAAGCTTTAGAAGATTAAAAATAAAAGAGGGAAATCGAAGTGAAAAAAGGTGGAAATTTGACAAGTAAACATAATATAGAATGTAAGTCATGTTGCTAGTTTTTTCTTTTCTTTTCCTGAAATAGTATAATGAATGACCCATTTCGTAGCAGTAAACAATCAAACAATGTACCCAACATACTTTTGAATGAACCCAATTTCCCAAAGATGGAAAGAAATGAAATATATTTGGAATGGCTCCTTTAAGAGCCAATGAATCAATAAACAACTTGAAACACTAAAAGATGAACAACCAACTAAAAACAAAAACAGCCAAATATCTTAGCAAAGACACCTAATAGGACTAAACTTATATAAAATGTATCCTTTTTAGTCTAAGTTAGACTTGATACCCAACAGACCAATTACAAACTTACCATTAAATTCAAATCCAATTAACTGAATCTAGAGCAGATCCTGATATACAAGACAGTGTGAAATGTGATATTTACTATCAAGTTCAAACGATATATACCAAGATAACATGTATCAGTCAAAAAACAGTTACACTGCCATATATCATATTAGGAGTAATAATTACTTGGTCTTCTTGGTAAGATAGGTACATACCATAAGCTCAAGACGCCTGATCTCCAATGCAGAATTACTAGCTTTTTCTTTAGCCAATGAAGACTCCTTTTCAGCATGCTGTCTCTTATCCTCTGCCAACTCTAGAGCAACCTCTAATTGTTTCAAATGTGCTTTTGTTTCACCAACCTCCAACATGGTTTGAATTGTTTCGCTAATGAGCAAATGAGACAGTAAAACATGTAAACAGACAAGTTAATGAGCAACCTCATAAATGCACCAGAAAATAAGATGGTCCAAAGCTCCATACAGCAACTCAACACACAAAAAGTGGCTTCAACAATTAGATAATGAATTTGAGATTACTCATTATTGTAAAGAATTTCAACATACTTTTGCAAAGCTGCAAATTTTTTGGGTATATCAGTGACAGCTGATACATCAGGTAGCTCATCAAGCAATGATTTCCAAGACACAAGTTCAAGTTCCAAGTTCTGTGCATAAACTTGGGCCTCCTGCAATTTAGATAACTCAGTTTCTGCCTTTTCCCTGCGCCCCTTTTGTTCTAATAGTTTTTCCTTCAATAACTCAGTATTAACATGATATGATTTCAATTTCCTAGCTTCTTGAACTTCTGCCTCCTACAAAAAATAAAAAAAGAACGAAAAAAGCTAATATTCAAAGTAAAGGTGAAAATTAATTGGCAAGATGTACAAGTAATAGAAAAACAAGACCAACAAAATACAAAAGCATCACAAAATATTTGGAAGGCTTATAGACAATGTAAATTATGTAACTAATTCTCTAACAATATCAACAAAGAGAGAAAAGATTGATGGATCAAGTGAAATAAACACAGTGATACAGCCCATTGTAATATTGTAGGACAAAATGCTCTGATCCCAACACGAACATAACAAGGCAAAATAAATTCTTTTTATGGATTTAAAAATAAAAAAAGGAAAATGTGAGGAAGACAAAGATAATAATGACAAAATATGATGATGGAAGTTAAAGGAGACGAAAGAAAGGAAAAAATAACTATCAGACTTGCCATAGCTAAAAATTCAACCACCAAGAATCACGATCTCAAACCTGTGCATAATTCACACATGGATAATGGAATTACATCATCAGAAAAAACAATGTGATCCCAATCCATTTACATAAAATGTGGGAAAAGTACTATTCATGTAATCATTCTATAGTCTTCTATTACAATCTCTTTCCAAGTTCAAAAAAATAAAAAAAAATGAAAGAATACATCCAAGAAAATTACTTCGCACAAATCAAGATGTTTCCTCGTTCCTTTTTTTTATATATTTTTTTGACAATACTCTTCTTGTTCCTAAAAATTTGATGAATGGGCTTCTTTCTTTATAAATGCTTCAGTCAAGAAGAGAATTCCTTATAGGAATGAAATGTTATTTCAAATCCAAGACAAATATTGTTCCTTTTTTCTTTCGCATCTCCAATCAACCCTAAAAATATCTCTGTTTCTTTATTATTTGGCTATCATTTTTCTTCTATTTGCACAATCTATAGTTTCATAGAAGACGTTATCATGTGACAACTTATGATATTTATAAAGGCAATCTAAACTAATAAAATTTATTTAATAAAAAATAAATCAAAATGTTCTCACATCAAAGAGGATATTATATCTCTATAAAGTATGGAACTAAGTCACGAACATCATGCCTGAAGGGGGAAAAAACATTGACAAATCAAGCAAACAATAATGGTACAGCTACTTATAATAAGAAGATATTATGTAACCGTTGTTGCTTAATAATATGCACTGAACAAGCTTACAGTCTCAGGTACCAAGATGCATGTATGATTGTCATCCCCATGTTCTCATACACAGTCTTAAAACCGCAAATGTGAACTCTTATAAAGTAATAAAAAAGAAAGTTAGAAGTACATCAAACATACCATAAAAAAGGCATCTTTATAGTTTAGATATAATGTAGGAAAACTTATTAAAGCACAAAAAAATCTCAAGTATCAGTTATGTCTCAGGCAATTTAATAGCTGCACATATATTCACAACTTACATAGTTTCGGAGCTGCTCTCTTAGATGCTTCACTAAATTATCATCTTCAGAAGTACTTTCTTGTGGAGCAGCAGCATATGTTACAAGCTTGTGCTCTAGTCCGCTCTTCTCACGAAGACACTGATTAAGAGAGTCATCATCATATTTACATGAAATATTGTCTAAAAAAGTTATATTCCTAATGAAATATATAGAAGACAGCTAATGCAAGTTACAATTTTCAGACACAAGCATAATACAGTAAGTTCAGTGATATGACTGCTTCAAGTTGATCTTAATTGGCTAATGTCACTGAATTCAGTTCAAAACTTCCAGAAACATGATGACAACAAGAACATAGCACCCAAATGATAGCTATCATATAATATAGTGCAATTACATCATGAAAGTACCATGACATACGCTGGTTACCTCATCTAGCTGTATCCTCAAATCATTCAACTGCTCTCTTAACAATTCTGACTCTTTTTCTGAATTTTCTGCTCTGAGCTTCATTCTTTCCAGCTGCAACAAATTAAAAACAAAATTCAGATTTCTACAAAGAAACTATCAGACAGAGAAGACATAAAACACACATCAGCAGCAATTTTATAGGAAGAGAGCTTCGAGTCATCTTGCAGATGTTCAAGTTGTCTCTTGAGAATATTTTTCTCCCTCTCAGAGCTGTCGGATAACCTCTGAAGCTTCCCTTCCAGATCTCTAGATCTTTCATTAGCTGATGTGATTGATAATTCAGCAATTTTACGAGACTCAATTTCTTTATTGAGTTGCATCTGAAATCCAATAAACCTACCAATCAACTTGCATCATAATAACAAGAAATATATAAGAAGCAGAGTAAATAACTAAATAATGAAACATTTTTAAGTAATAGGCTTCAGCAATATTTTTGCCAACCAGTAGAACTTCTGATGTAGGGCAAAACATAATGATAGCCTCTGAGCTTAGTGAGACCTTATAGCAAGAAAAAAAACTGCTAGATTATTGCCAAGAAAATCAAATAAGAGTACTGGAACAATGATACAACTAGAGTATAAATTATACAGCAGGTTTTTTAACTTAGATTTATTTTAAATTTAAAATAATCCAGAAGGCTAAATATAAACTATAATGAAGGTCTTTCAACTTCAATTATTTTTAGATTGAAAGCAAACAAGGCTTAATTCTTTTGACAAGCAAAGAGAACAGAATGCAGAAAATAAAAATAAGAATAAGAGGACTACTATATAAATAGTACTAAATAAATAATTGAAACACGAGAGAACAAGGGGACCATATACTACATAGAGTTTCCAGACAAACCCAACAGGAACTTCTGAATCATGATCTCCAAGGATATTTAAGACTTCTTCTTTGCACCAAAAAACAGGCTATGCATGGTTCATGGGCATCCTGATTGAGGTTTGTAGATAAGGGATTTGATAAGAAATTCTCAAAGGTTAGAAGCTAGGCTCAGGTGCATCCCTGACACCTCAAGTTTTGAGGCTTAGGTGCTCTCAAGTTTTGTGACAACGCAATGCGGGTGTTGCTCCCTCCCACATTTAGTGTCCTTGCGAGTAATGTCACTCTGGAAGTGAGTTCTGCCACGACTTCGTGCAAATGTTGCACGAAGTCTTTGGTGTCTTTCGTCAATCGATCGACTAGGGACTCAATCTTGTTGATTCGAGGTTCAGCTTCTTCTTGCGAACTCTCTACCCCAAGAAGCCTTCATTGACCTTGGTAGAATTCCTCCAAGCTCGCTTCAAGAATATCCAAGCGAGTTTCCATCGTTGTGAGTCTCTCCTTGTGGCACTTTTTCCCAGTTTGTGCTCCAGATTATGCCTCCTCCGTTTGCGGAGAGTAGCCAACTTCTCGCTCATCATGTTCGCTGTCATGCTCCTCCTGAGTGGCTCCAACAGTATGAGAGCGAGTTTGCACTTGCAGCCCAATTGCGGCTGCATGGGGCAATGGTCCGACTTGCCCCTTCTTGCTCAATTCACCATGATGCTTTGTTATGGCGAGATTACAAAGTTTCTTCGTTGCTTACTCAAATTGCTTGCCCGCTTTGATACCACAATGTCACGGACTTAGCTGGAATTGGCTAAATCGTGAGGCACCCTTGCGGCAGTTGTCACGGATTTAGCTGGAGTTGCCAAAGTCGTGAAGCACCCTTGCGCCAACTTATCAAACTTAGCTAGGATTCCCTAAGCCATGAGGCGCTCTTACGATATTTGCGTCCACAAAGGGTCAGCCTGGTTACAACCTCATGAAGGTCCCGAAGGACCTGTAAAATAGCAAGTTGATTAGTTTGAAAATAAGTGGCGGACAAGTCCCGACGTCTCACGAAGAGGGAACCTTTAGAAGCAATTCAACGAGTACCTTGAGTGCAAGAGAGAAAATAATGACTTTAGAAGGTTGAACGACCAGTTACAATTCTACAAACAACTGCTCATCGGGTGTCGGGCGCGAAGGCAAGTTCCCGTTAAGTTAACATGCGAACTTGTGAAGATTGTTCAACGCCCGACACTACCCCTAGTGCCACTCGAGGGGTTCCAGGGTGCTGAGATAACTGACGTTTCGCGTGCAACTATGGTCTGCAGAAAACAGATCGTGGCACGCGAAAACGAAGCCATTTTTGGGCAATTTTTCCCGACGCGGTTTGCCAAGCATCTATACAAGTAAGCAAAAGCGACGAACGGTTCGTTGAACAAAGTTGTTGCGGGTGCGCAACGACCGTTCGTGACAACACGATACACTAAGGTGTATTGATATACCACCTGTACCGGTCCTCTATCGGATCGGTACGTCCCGTCCATATCGAGCGGTACAGTATGGTATGACAAACCATGCGTAGAACACCTCACATGGGAACAAAGCCTCTACATGATAACTGACAAATTACTCAGGCCTATTACTTGCACTAAACTGGCATGCTAGCTCAATTAAATAAAAAAAAACAATCCAAAAAAGAGAGAACACAGAACTGAAATAGAAATCCAGAATTCTGGACCTTCCTTGAGCCCAGAATAAACTCAATGTTGCAATCAATTTTGGTGCAGATTTGCATACATTGCAGCTTTCTTTGGTTTATAGAATTGGTCCACGATATGGTCTGACTGACCTTTAAATTATATAACTATATGATTATAGAATCTGCCATATATATAAGAAGAAAAATTGACTCAGTGCACAAGATTCCCACCAATGCAAGATCTAGACTAGGTCACCTTACACAGCCATTATATGACATAAGAAAGAGTCATAAACAGAATCACAGATATATAAAGTAGTTAGATAAAAACTAGATCTTTTTTATTATATGGTTATGATTCCAAATTCTGAACAAATCGGTGACTTAAAAAGGCGCTCGGGCGTTCACCTAAGCGATCGGGCGAGGCGAGGCCCGAGTGCGTCGTTTAAGGGTTAGGTTGTGCGCTTCAATGAGGCACTCACCCAAGCCCAGGCGCCAGGCACTTCGGGTGAGTGCCCGGTTGATATAAGGTGACCGAACTGCTTAAATTTGCATTAGTTGGTTCGATTGAACCAACTAACGCACGCAATTATATCAACCCCGACTCCCAACCCTACACACGCTTCTCTCTTTGTTTCCGTCGCCGACGATTTCTCCGTCTACATTCACTACCGACGATTTCTCCCTCTGCCTCTGAGTTTTCCTCTGTTGTCGACCGAGTCTCCTCACCTTCCACTATCTACCGCTGTTGTCCACTGCCGCATTGCCTACTGTCGTCCGCTGTCGCTGTCAACTGCCTGCTACTATCCGCGACACAACTCTGCTACCGCTACTGCTGTCCATTGCCTCGTGCTGTCCGCGAGTCTGCTGCCTCCTATTGTCTGCGATTCTGTAGCTTCCGCTGTTATCTGTTGCCTGCGACTTAGCTTCTCACCGCAACTTCTTCGATCTCTACTCTTCCCTATTGTTAACAGTAAATATACTATTAACAATAGATTATTAATTACTATTCAAAATAATCTTTATTTATTAGATTAATAATATACTATTTAGATTTTAACACAGCTAATCTTTATTCTTAATTTAATATCATATTTTTATTTAAATAATTAAATTTATTAATTATATTATATATTTTTTATATTTTAATATTTTAGAGCGCCTCACTTCGCTCGAGCTAGTGCCTAACGCCTTGGGCGTTTTGGGATCTTGGCGATTAGCGCTTTTTAAATCACTGGCACAATTATACCATGTAGAGCCAAAAGCAAACTTAAAAAATTCTCAATGCTCAAAATGATTCAAAAAACTTATCCAATTTCAAAAACAAGGAACCAAGAATCATGGTAAGCATCCAGTAAAGCAGCATGTACTGGATCAGCATGTTCTGACATCATAAACTGAAGATATGGGACGTATATACAGGCTAGCAAGCCACAATTTGCAGCTAAAACCAAACCAAACCAGCCGAACCAAGCTGGTATACCACCAAGTTTAGTGCAGTAAAAGGATGGGCCACACAAGTTAACATTGAGAAGTTGGAGAGTCATACTATCATTAAGCTTCTTTTGCCCTAATCATGAGTTAGAAGCAGCACCAACTTAAGAAAAGAATGAGAATCAAGGAAAAGGAGCAACAAGAGCATCAGCATCAGGAAAAGTAACCAGTTCTTTTCATACAAATTTTCTATTTTTGTCTTGCTTCCTTCATTTTGTACCAACTGAAATAAAATCTTGCAGTAAGATGTTGAAACAGCTGGATTTCAGAGCACACAGATGCCTAAATATGTGAGACAGGTATCAACATCAGAGAATAGTGATTTATCAACATATTCAAATTACCAAGACAAACTCTAATGACAGCAACGGCTGCCACACAGCATTACTCTCAGTAGACAATTCACAAAGCTAAATGCTATGGTCTCTAGCCTTCTCCATCATAGTTATCAAAATCGTACAGGTCATGGTCATGCTTCAATTCACTAAATTAATTATTGTTTGAAAAAGTGGGTCAATTGATAATATCATCTAATTAATAAAATACATCATCATAAAATAACATGTTATGACATTTTTATTTTTAAAAAAGAAGGTTCTTTTTCACTTTTTCCTTCAATATTATCTCTTTTTTCTTCCCTCTTCTTCTCCTCCATCTCCTTTCCCTCCTGTTCCTGTTTGCCGTCTTAGTCTCAGTCTCTGCTCTTCATTCCTTTGCTCCTATCTACCCTTCTTTTGCTGCTTCACTTTCCAATGCTCATATTCTCCTTCTTCCACTCTTTTTTTATTTTTCCTTCCTTTCCTCCTCCATCTCTTCTTTTCTTCTTTGACCTTTTCCTATGTGTTCATTCTTCTTCCTCTCCTCCTCCATACGTTCCCGTTCTTAGGTTTCTCCTCTTCTTTGCTTGATGGTTGTGATGGAATGTGGGGCATCCATAGGCTCATGAAAAAGAAGGGAGCGATAACAAAGATTTGGGATTTTCTTGGATGTTGATGACACTTAAATACCCACTATTATTATTTGATCATTTGATGTGATATAGATGTGCCAGTTCCTACGTATCATTAACCAGCTGGGTAAATCGGTCCAATAAGGGCCTTTTACACCTCCGAACTTTTAGGAGGACTGGACTAGTCTCGTCTACGATCAGGTAAGCTCCATGAATAAAAGTTAATATAAGAAAATATCAAATAGAATACGTGCATCACAGGAACAGACACTGAAATCCATTTACCAAAAAACATCTAGAGTATGCAACTAGCAATAACTGAAACACAATGGCACATAAACATTAAAAACATCAGATAAACTCAGTTCACTATGACAGTATAGTAACATACCTCTAGTTCACAGCACCGCTTTACTTGTTCCTTGTAGCGCTCCATAGAATCACCTACCTCTTTCAACAATCGTTCTTGTAATGCATGTTCACGCCCTTTTGATGCATCAAGTTCTTGCTCCAAAGACAAAACACGATCTTTATAATTCTTTCTCGCATCCTCTGCAGCAGCAGGTATAAAGTCACTCTTATTCATTCTTTTAATATGCATGAGACATGGATAAATTCATTTTCATGCATTCTGTGACTAAAATCAACAGAGTTTCCACCATAATAGCAAGATATACCTTGATGGATCTTGCATGATTAAAATTGGGCGCAAAGATAACAGCATAGATACCAGTAATTATCAAGCAAAAAAAAACATATTAGAAGACACTAGACCATAAGCTAGATAAGACATTCATTCAATGGTCACCAATAACCTTGATAAAGACAAACCTTTCACAAATCAATTTTTTAATATAATAAAGAGAGCTGCCCTTAGGGAGGAACTGCACGTACCACTTTGGCTGAACTCGCTGTTCAGCATCACCAATTTGGCTTCATAGTCAGCTACTTGCTTCTCGGCATTATTCAGGGCCACCAGAAAGTCTGACTTGACCTGACAGCTGTAAAAAATCATTATCCATCCAAAGAGAGGGTCCTTTACCAGTCAAAAGTCCAGTAAGCCTCTGTATCTGATTAAGGAAACCATTTCAGGATGAGAGATCCTTAAGAAAACGTTTGATTCATTCCAGGTGCATATTGTGTTCTTCTGAAATTACATATAATCCAAACGGTTGTTACCTCTATGAAAAGTGATCCAAAATGGCATATTCTCCTGTCTTCTTCTGATTTTGAAACCTATTTCCCTCCCATTTACTATTTTTTCCACATAGAATAGTTTGTTTTACAATTCAACACTTGAGAAACTATGCATACATTAACATCCAAAACAAGGAAACAAGATCTGAAACCCTAACATTCTGACTTCTTGAAGCGGCTAACATTCTAACTTCTTGAAGAGGTTAACAAGATGATCAGAAACCAAAGCGACAAACAGATGACAAAGATCACTAGAAGGTGAGACTTAAACAGGAAAGATCTATGCCGCCATACAAGGGTACCAGGTGACAAATTCTCCTCCGTTCTTCTGACTTTGAAATCTATCACATTTCGAGAGTTGAAGCCCTAACAGCCTAACTTCTTAAAGCGATTGAGAGGATAATTGGAAATCGACAAAAACAGAAAAGAAAGTACAATGAGGCGGGCTTAAAGAGGAGAGATCACCATCTGGCGGCAGTGGTAGGTGCAGACCATCTCATCGGAGGGGTCGACGGCGGTAACCGGCGCGGGACCCTCGTAGAGCACGAGACGGCGATCGGAGACGGGGCTCTCATGGTCGGTGAGGACGGTATCGGGCCTCCTCTTCTTCTGAGCTGGGGTACGAAGGATCATCTTCTTCACCGGATTCGCGGCGGAGAAACTAGGGTTTCTGCCTCTCGATCCTCCGGTCTGGTCCTTGCCCTCGGTGGCTTCAGCAGCGCGAGGGTTGGGCGATGGAACGCGGTGCAGCAAGGCGCTGCGATCGAGAGAGCGAGCGAGAGAGAGAGAGAGAGACAGAGGAGCGCGGTTCTGACGAGGGATTTGAACTCTGGCGTCCCGATGCTTTTGATGGGGGAACGAGGCCGGGTCGGATAGTTCAAGCGCTAAACCGCACCGGTGAGTGACTGTCCTCTCCAGTTTTGTGTCATTAATCACCTTGATCGCTCGCAGCCAACATCTCAACCATCCATTTAAGATAAATCCACCTCTCCGGGCTCTACACGTCTTGTCGTCTTCGATGGACGGTTGATATGCGATGAGCAAGGGATGGTGAATGGATCTCCAACGATTTATTATATTTTATATTTATTATCTTTGATAAATTATTTTAGATTATATTTTGTTCAGATATTACATTACAAATATTGAAATACTAATGCCACTATGAGATAGCATTAGTATTTTAATATTTACATGATACTAATGTAATTTTTTAATTTTTAAAATACTCTATGATATTATATGAAATCATAAGATTGTTACCATGATTTATGTCTTTTTATAAAGTATAGTATTATTTTTTTAAATATATTTTTATTTAGTATATATCTAGGTTATACAAAAATTTTGTAAGATTATATATTTTCTTATTAAAAAATATATATATTTTTTTGAATAAATATTAAAAATATTAGAATGATAAATTCATAACATAATATTTAATAAGATTTTGAAATGTAATTTTACATAATAATAATAACACCAATGCATATTTAAAATATAGTTTTCATATATTATTTACCAAGCACTTAGAGTATTTTGTACATTCACTCAAGTTATTTTCTTCAAATATATATTAAAAATATAAATATATTCATAAATATAGTCTATTTTATTTAAGTTCGTGACAAAAGATGCTTGTATATGCTTCTTATAAGAAAATTATATGTTAAACATTTTTATGGCAAATAATCATTTCAATGTATTTTGAATGAAAATAATATCACATTATATAGCAATAATCACCATCTTAATGATAAAATACATCATTCATATTAGATTAAAAATAATAACAAATAAAATTTTCCAATCAATAAATAAAATAATACAATATTTGATTAAAATTTAAAAAATACGAAGGCACGAATTGTTGTTTAATGAGGGATTCCCAACCTTCATGCTGGTTTGATCAGAAAAATCATCTTAATAAGGCATAAATCAATCCACGAGCACAGTTGAGATGTCTCGATCTAAGTAAAAATTAAATATATGAAAAAAAACAAAGAAGGAAAAAAGAAAATTTAAAAGATAAAACTATGATCTTTTGCATGATAATTTCACTTAGTAAGAATCACATTTTTATAATATTTTTTTATCTAATAAGATGACCATATCTTGACTCTATCTAAAGAAGTTCTTAGGCCTTTTTGGGTTGCACATTACATGAGCAACACAATAGCAAAATAAAATAAAAAATAATATATATATATATATATATAAAGGACTTTACAAAGAATTATTTGTTTGGCTCGACTAAGAGTCCCGACAATACAAGTGTGAAGTGAAAAATTAAAGTTTTCTCATTATTATTTCAATATTTTAGATACTAATATGACACACAGGTGAAGGAAATATTTAGAGTTTTCATTAATATTCCAACAATTTAGATATTCTGGTGACGTGGCATAAGCACTGACGAGTCGACTTGATTTCTTTAGTTATCGCAACCACATCATCGGATTCCATTACTTATAGCAATCGACCACATTAGCGGATTCGGGTCGGACCTAGACAGATCCGATAAAGAGAAATAATTTATAACTGGCTTTAATCGCCTGCTTCTTCCGCAAGACAAAAGCTAGAGGTATTTATAGATAGAAGACCGCCTAAAGAGTACTCCCAAAACCTCCCGAAGCCCCTGGCTGCCGAACTCGCCGCCACCGCCGCTGGTGAGCTCTCTAACTCTCTCTCTCTACCGATTTCGATCTCCATTTATTTGCTTTATCAGTGATTCTCCTCTTTCTATTTCCAGTGTTGCTACGAATCAGCAGGAGGGAGTGGCAGCCATGAGTTTTAGGAACGTCAAAGTCCCGAACATCCCCGGCTCGGGGGCATCGGCGGCGCTGGTGAAGGTCGCGCTCATCGGTGGCACCGTCGTCTATGCTGCTCTCAATAGCATCTATAATGTCGATGGCGGTCATCGTGCGATCGTCTTCAATCGCATCGAGGGCATCAAGGACAAGGTTCGATTACACCCCATTGCACAAAGATAGTAGATCTCAGGTGCTTCTTTGATAACCCAGTAATAACATTGTCTTGTTAGAATATTCATATCTTAGTTTCTCATATTTAGGGTATGGAGCAGCACTTGTTTTCGTGTCGAATTTATTCTATTCGGTATTTCAGGTTTCATTGGGCTTTCCGTTTCCAAATTGTATGTTACGAGACATGTCAACCACGCATTAGCTGCTGTTGTAGGGCAACCATGCGCTCCCTGTGATGACATCATCGAACATTAAGTTCATTTAGTTCTTGAAATGATTTTGTTTGACCTATAATCTTGATCTAGCAATCCTTTTATTTTGAGATTTATAACTGTGGTATAAGATTTGGATAATTATGAAAAAAAAATCTTTGAGTAGCATTGGTTAAGTATATTTGATTATCTGATGGAACAAAAGCATCAGGCAGCAGGATTCTACTATGTTTAAGCAAATCACCCCGTCCAATTTTACAGTTACAAAATGAATTATATAGTCATATCTGGTACTAAGATAATATATAAGCATATCAGTATTAAGGTTAGGTTTAATCTATAGTTCTATGCTTCTTTTCGATCAATTCTCATGCATTTCCATTTATTTCTTGAATTATTTCTGTGCAAACCGTGGCTTTTGCTTTTATACAAGACAAAGCTTATCTGCAGGTCTATCCGGAGGGAACACATTTGATGATTCCATGGTTTGAAAGGCCGATCATTTATGATGTCCGTGCCCGTCCGAATCTTGTAGAGAGTACTTCTGGGAGCCGTGATCTTCAAATGGTAACTTCCCTAATTTTAGTAGATTTCCTTTTTAGTAGGAACTGTAGTGTCGATGTTCTCTTCCCAGATATCCTATACAGTGGCCAGGATTCAGCTGCTCTTCTATGTTGCATGCTCTTCAAACAAGTTGGTCCTAAGTGGCTGAGATACTTTTACTTGATTGCTTAATTTATTTGGAAGAAAAAATTATACATTGTTGTTATCATGTTACAACATGACTTTGCATTGTATATGGGTCAGTTTTTTTTTTCACTTGCAAACATACATCCATGTCATAATTTTGGAGACAATTTTCTTTGTTATTTGCCATTCCTTTTCTTCCTCCTATTATGTCATTAGCACTTCTATTCTTGACTGCAGAGCTAGAAATGAAACATTAATAATTTGTATCCTCACCGCCCTACGAGAGTTTTGAAGTATATGATCTAATATCTTGTTCATGTGAGGCGTAATGCTTCTTGTGGATCTTAAATTTGTCTGTCTGGCTTCATTCTGATCCAATATTTTGTTTCTGTAAGATGTCAAGCTTCTTATTGATATTAAATTTGTCTGTCTGGCTTTAGTTCTCTAACTCATCTAACCAAGCAAACCAAGTTGGAGCTTGGGTTCTAAATGCATTGCTTTTTCATAATTGGCTTGCACATTGAAAGATGTATTCCAAGCCAAAGACCACTTTTTGACAGATACAGTTCACCTAATTTAATCCCTTATACGCATAACAACATATCACTTTGTTTGGATTCAATAGTTGTTGACATTTAACTTATAAGAGGAACACACTACACTTGATACATTATGTACAATCACCAATGAAAATTATAATTTACCCCAATTTTGTTATATTCATTTTTCATGTCGTCTTTGTGGAAAGATTATTTCTAGATTGTATCTTTAGTAAATCTAGCAAGGTCAAAGCATGCAGATGTAATATATCATCCAGCATCTAACCAAAACTCCCTGATTTTTCTCCCAGCAGGTAGCACTTACAGAGATATGTATCTTATGCTAAGAAACTTCAAATGTGTCTTAACAATTGCACGTAAATTGAACCATCAATGGATGAGTGACCAAATATCTTGTTAAGAAATTTTAATGGGGGAACCAATTGCACATAATGGTTGTCCTTGGAGTATTGGTTTAGAAACCTCGATGCCATGATTTGATCTTTGTTTCTGTTTTCTAAGGACCATGTTACTGTAATTTTGCCTTGTCCACGAAACTCTGTCATGCCGTTTGATAGACTGTATTTTGTCACTTTTTTATGTGCATTTAATATTTCTTCCAGTAGCATGCCTACTGTAGTCTCCCCACTAGTATTTCAAGTACTGTAACCAGCGAATCTGATATTAGTAATTGGAGTTGGTAAGCAAATCAGTCCAATTTTGATTTGTCTGTTATTTATTCATCTTACACTTGCTATTGCTGATGTTGTATTTATTCATTTGTTTATAGATGCTGTGAGTTGTTGCTTCCTTACTTTGTATGGTATTTTCCACTTATATTGGTTGGTTTTGGCATTTTAACTGTTGATGCTATTATACTTGCACAGGTGAAAATTGGGCTTAGGGTTCTTACTAGGCCCCTTCCTGACCAGCTGCCCACCATCTACCGAAGTCTTGGGGAGAACTACAATGAAAGGGTCCTTCCTTCCATTATTCATGAAACTTTGAAGGCTGTGGTTGCCCAATACAATGCTAGCCAACTGATCACACAAAGAGAGGTATGAGATTATAATGATATTAATTGATTTCGAATTTGGTAGGCATGTCTGCTAGCATAAACAAGGATTAAAAAAAACCTCAGCATTTAGATGTCAATTGAGTAATATGACTGTGTGCTGTAGGCTGTGAGTCGGGAAATACGAAAGATCTTGACCGAGAGAGCCAGAAATTTCAACATTGCTTTGGATGATGTTTCAATCACAAGCTTGAGCTTTGGGAAGGAGTTTACTAATGCAATCGAAGCTAAGCAAGTTGCTGCTCAGGAGGCAGAGCGTGCTAAGTTCATTGTTGAAAAAGCAGAGCAAGATAAGAAAAGTGCTGTAATAAGAGCACAGGTAACAAATTTTATATGCTAGTTGAGTGCCTTCATAACTAATATATTTTGTTGTTGGCGTGGACTGTTTATCTGAACTGATGCATGGCCAATTCAACACTCTGTTAAGAAGATAATTAACAATCTTTCATTTTGTAGTTTCCTTAAAAGATAGTATACCAGCTTCAAGCCTATTCGAAGCAGCGGTACATTGAGATGTTTCATAATGATCTGGAAACATGGTTGACAATGTTTTTTCTTTCTTTCGCTTACAGGGAGAGGCTAAGAGTGCACAGCTTATAGGTCAAGCAATTGCAAACAACCCGGCATTTCTTGCTCTAAGACAGATTGAAGCTGCACGTGAAATAGCTCATACAATTGCAAATTCATCCAACCGTGTCTTCTTGCAGTCCAATGATCTACTGCTGAACCTACAGGAGCTGAATTTTGAAGGCACAACCAAACTGAAGAAATGAGAATCATGATCTCCTCCTGTTTCTTCAGGAGAACGAAAAAAAACTCCGAAGAGAATAATTCCTGCCTTGAAAGGGTCGATCAATTCTGCATTTTTTGATTTAGAAAAAAAATCAGAAGTCATCGATTGAAGCGGGACTCAAACTATAACTGCTGAACTTTACCATTTGACTTGCATGTTTGTTTGTTACATTCTCCTCTACCATCCTTTGAAACTTTGCAAGGTTTTTGTGAGCTTCACTGCTCTGTCCAGTGATTCCTTATTCGAAGTAGATGAGCTTCTTAATAGATTTGTAGGATTGTGTTTCTGATTACATGTCATTTCGTAAGGAATTCGTTTCCTTCAGTTGGTCAAGATCAGGGAAATGTTCTGGTTGTCAGTTGCCTATCAAGATGCATTACACTGACATAACTCACACAATTCCTTAGTGAAAGGATGGAGATTTAAACGCCTTTTTTCCTTATGTTTTGCACTGTAAGGGAAGTTGAACCGTGTTCGTACGTGCAGGGTCATATGAAAGCTATATCACTACGGGTCGGGTTCATGTAGCGGGCTGCGCCCGTCTAGTTGTTGGTAATGGCTCCCCATGGTTACGTATCGGGTCGCGTGTGGATCTGACCCAAATTGAAATCAAGCTTTGAACCATAAACCGAGAGGTACACGGGCTGATCCGCACTCGGTTCACGACGGACCGACCGATCCATAACTAATTTACGGGCTCGATCAACCTATCGGCCGATCAAATTGAACCACCGAACCAAAAACCCCCGTTCCTATCTTCCTGCGTCGCCTCTGCATCCCGAGGCCGCAGCGCGATTCTTTTACCTCCCTTTCCCTCCTCTCTTCTTCGATTTTGATTCTCTATCGGGAAGCATAGATCTCTCCTTCCCCTCATCCGATCGCAGAGGGCTTGGCGTTCTCTGTTGTCAGAGGCGATCTTCGGGTTCTTTTTGGTCTTTGGATGGCTCTCGTGATCTGCGGGCAGCTTTGCAGCGGGAAATCGACGGCCGCGGCCTGCCTAGCCGACGATATCGAGACCATGGACCCCAAACCGACGGTCGGGATCGTTGACAGTCCTCCTTCCACCTTGGTCGCAATCAAAGCTACGCGGGTACTCGCTCACTCATCTCTATCAATAGCACCATGCGATATAATGTGGTGATTACATGGTGTGCATAGAGTTCCTGTGTATTATATCAGCATTTCAATGGTGCAATTAACTCTATGTGCTCCATGCTAGTATCGCATTTAGCAAAGCTGATATCTCAATACATTAATGGTTCTGAGTCGATTATTACGAAAAATGAAGGAAAGATCCATTGCATCAAATTTTCAGATGGTGAGCCACGTGTGTGTAACACAAGTTTTAGATCCATAAAAAAACCCCCTTTGTTCTTTTATGGTAGGTTTTCGGAGTAACTACCGGGTAGGAGGACATCAGAAGTCTTGGAATGTTTGAATGGTGAATATTAGTTGATTTTGAGCATTATTTCGACTAAGCAAATCCTTGACTTCCAGTTCACATAAACCTTCCAAGACCAACTGGGTTGCCTGAGCTCTGAAGCCTGAGGTGTATCTTCATTAAGCTAACAGGGCAATCCAGCTTGACTGGCCCTCTCCCACTATCAGATGTAGATAGTGCAAAGAAGATGTTTGTCAACTGCGTGAATCTGGAAATTGACACAGCTTAACCTCTTCTTTTCAAACTTATGCTTATAATTCCTTATTTGCATAGAGATGATGTTTTGCATATTGCAGATGTTCAGCACTGAGATAACATAAATCATTGAAAGCCTTACTCCTTTATATGATCTTGAATTACAATTTATTCATTCTGATTTAGTTTGTTTTGACTGGTTGTATTTGTTACTGCAATTTGAGAAAAGAGGGAGGGCAAACAATTCTAGGAATCAACAGCAGGAGTCTTGACAGCTGCTCTGTCATCTCGGCGAAGCACCTAAAATATTTGGTTTACAGACTAATTTGCAAGCAGCAGATGGAGAACAATATACATGCAATGCAAATGTGCCACACCATATTGAGCTGATATGCTACCTAACATCTAACAATTTTTTTAAGTTTGTTGGCTTTTTTTTTCGTGTGCAGGGTTTTGGCACCTCTACTACCCTTGGAATATAACTATGCTCGCTCTCAGCAGACTGACAAGCTTAAATGTTCCAACAGATGAACTGCAGCAAAGAAGAGAACCAGAAGAAAAAAATTCCGGTGATTGACTGCATGACTGAAACTTCATCTTCATCAGAACATCCTGCTATAATGCATGAGGTAACATAAGCTGTCATTCTGCATGGAACTCAACTTACAGAAGGAACAAAATATTCTTCCATCTTGCAGCACAAGTAGTCGTTTTGTAAGGAGCTTGCCTGAATCAGAGGTTCATTGTAGTCGTTCAGCCTCTGATCTTGGATGAAAGTTGTAGGGCCTTGCATCATGTCTCCAAGTGCATCAAGGTCTGACTCTAAACCTACTTCACCTAATGCCTACAATGCTATCATTATTTTCTATTTCTAGGCACTTGATCATATTTCGTCTTTAAACCGACTATCTTTGATGATGCCAAATTGATTATCTTGCTGGAAACTCAACGATGCTTCAGAAGTATGAAATTTGCCATGGTTTGTTTCGTGTCATACGGTAAGTAGCCACCTCAGTTGTGAAGAGTGGTTTTCTGGTTCTCTTCATTTTGCAGCCTTGCATGAAACAGTACACCTTCTTCATTTATTAACTCAGCCACCATCTTTGTTCCCTTTGGGGTGATGCCCTTCAACAAGATATTTCTTCTTCACATTGTGATATTATGACCAGGACTTCTGGTTTGATCCACAGCTCCGAAGGATCAGTATGAACTAGTTATCTGCTCACTCAGAACGCCAAAAGCGAAAGCACAGTAGACACTCCTTCAGGTCACAGAGCATAATGGAATCTGTGGTGCCATGTATTTGGGATAGTGGAAGATCACCCTCATCAACATGTGGATGTTTCAGTAGTTTGTTGCTTTGTGCCGTCTACATGATTATGGTGAGACCTGAAGCTTGCCGGACACTATCAGTGCCTTCTTCTGGGTTCTCCTAAAAAATGCAGTCTTCTTGATGGGTTATTTCAGCTCATTTGCTGCACTTGCCACTTGTTTGAGTGGGCATCTTTTGCTTCCCATTGCCCCTTCCCTGTCCTACTTCAGTGGCTGTAGAAAGATGTCATTTTTCATCCTTGGATCTCCTGCAAAGCTTGTAGGGGTTTTAGAGGCTTCTTTTACAGGTTTAACTTGTCTTCCCAAGTGAGAGAACCATAAGAACCCTATTAGTTGGATTGAAAAATCAATTAAAAGAAATGTAATTAAATAATCTTATTAATTAATAATTAATAATTAAGAAAAAATCAATTAAAAGAAATGTAAATAAATAAAAATAGTTGGATTGAAATAGTTGTATAATCTTATTAGGATTGATCAAAAGAATCCTAGTAGCACCCTCATTGATGTTGTCTTCTAAGAAAGATCAAATTATGGTTAAAATCTTATATTAGTAATAATATAGTTTCATTTGTTTAAGATATTTGGAATAACATTATGTATATTTCGATATTAAAACTTATGATTAATAACATCAAGTTCACCTCAACGTGGATAACAAAAATAAATGATTTATGAAAATTTATCTATTTTTTTAATGCCATCAAGATAGTTTTTTTTACTAATTATGCTATAATATTTAATATTTTAAATAATATCATACTATTATTAAAATTTAGATATTTTTTTAAAATATTTTACTAACATGAATTACTTTTATTTTTTAGTCATTACTATCAAAGAGACGATTGTTGGGGATGAGATCAGATCTATTGATATTAAACCTTTAATCATACCTTATTAAACCTTTAATCATACCTCGCCTTTATAATCTGGTACACATATATAATCTTGTGTTTTATTTTTTTAGGTTTATTAGCTAATTGTTGATATAAGCACATCTCCGATAATTGACTTGAGATAAATAAAAGACTTTCAACAATTAAGATCGAAAGAAAAAGAAAAAATGATTCCTACAAAAATGAGGCTCTCGTGTCATGAACATAAGAATATAATTTTTCTCATTTATTGATATTTTCTTTATATCAAGAAAGAATATGCAGGTTGATTACAACATGTATAATTAAGAAAATTGATTCTATATAATATTTTTATTCTAATTCATTTCCTATAATACTGATTGAGAATCTCTTAATTATGATGCTATTTTATTTTTTTTAATTTGATACTAATTTATTTTTTATTGTAACATTATAAAATCACTTAATTATGAGATTCAGAATCTTTTAATCTTTAGAGTTTTTATAATCACATCAACATGTATTCATAAGAGCACGCCAAAAAAAAAAAAAAAACAAAGGAAATCTTTTCCTATATATTAATATATTAAGTAATGAACACAGTATTCAGTATCTCTTTTTTGTCTGATCTATCCTAAATTATTTCTCATGATAACAAGCACAAATTCTCAACATGAATCAAGAAAATAATCTCTCTACTTATAAAAGTAATGCCACATACATTGATCTGACCAATTTTGTATTAATGAAATTCCATTATTCTGAGTTCACTATTTCAAAATCTTATAGTAAAATGGTGCACAAATCAAATAGTATATAATTTAAAAAAAATACATATATATATATTCCTTGATTTTTTTTTATTGGTACTTGATTTTATCATATATATCCATGCCAAACTAAAAAAGAAAAAATGCACATATGACATTGTTGTTGTTCACATCAATTGACCATTAGCAATATGATGTATAAATTCAAATTGCCATTAATAATCATATAAAATATTTGAAAATTCAAGAGGTAAATAATTTATGAAAGTTGATGGATGATGGAATATATAATATAACCTTAATTGTTACATTAAAAAAAGTCATTATATATTTCCTAAACCACCTATACTTATTAGGAATTTGATTCAATAATTCATTAGTATTTTCGATATTAACATCACAAATAAGGGACTATTTATTTTTTTCTTAAGAATAAAAATAAAGATAAAACTAAAATTCCCTATCTTTTTTTGGAACCCTCCTCATCTCCTTTATAATTTGGTGAACTCCTCCCCTTTATATTTCATTTGACTGTGAGGAAGGATCAGCATACTTCTTTCGCTCGGAGAAGGTTCTGCATATTTTTTTGTTATTTGGAGTTTTTATTTAATGTTTTAGTTGTTTATAATTTATAAGGATTTTGATGGTTATTAATCTTTCATTTTAGATTTTAGATGAATCTCGATGATTTCTTTGTTATTAATTAAGTCAATTTAATTTTATGAGACGATAATTTGTAAATCAACTTTGATATCGAAACAAATGTTAAAATTATTTCTAATAGTGTAACATTAGTAGCATATTAATCATATTTAAATGTTTTTTAAACATTTTAATACTCGTGGAATTGGTACTATGATGCTACCATGTCAAGGTTCAATTTCGATTAATTAGGATTGATAGTTTGATTTGCTTGATACTAATGTTGTGCCTTCATTTTTTTTATTAGATTATGATTGATATTGTTATTAGAATGTTGTAAATCCTATCTATATGTTTGATATTTCATATTATTTATATTATCATATTAGAGATTAATTAAAAAAAAGATTTACTATCAGGTGTAGTCCAAGTTGACTCTATCTCAATTTAGGGTTGAGTCTAGCTTGAATCAAACTCGACTTGTGTTAGATTAGTTCGCTAAGACGAACAAAACTTCGATTACGTCAAGTCCAACCTGTCTAGTATTAGCTTCCAACGATAACCCCCATGACATGATGCTTGCGACTCGACGTATCTTGTGATCTAGCATTACGGTTGGTGTGCCTCAACGCGATTATATGCCAAACTACATTAGCCTTGGCTAGTTTAGATTGATTCAAGATAATTTTATTTAGAATATTTAAGCTTATCCTTATTATTGTAAGACTTTTTAAAGAATCCAACTAACTATTATTGTTGAAATATTTTATCACTGCTTATTAAAATTAGAGAGGTTTGTGGTTGTACTGAAGATTGAGCCATGAGAGCATTTGCAAGGTAAAGTATAGACTCCACCTTGTCGGGATGCCATAGCATTCCTCATCTGTGTTGTTTGAATGATTAATGT